CCCCCCCCTCTCTCTCTCTATATATATATATATATATACATACATATATGTAGATTGCCGTAATGATGTTGCCACCCTTCCATAACGACGCAATGAGAGAGACCTCGTAGAAACGTCAAGCAACACCCACCTTCCCCTTTCCCCTTCCAGTCTATCGCACATACCTACCCTCCCCATCGTAGTCCCTCATCCTGTCAGACTGTATGGCCCTGCCCAGACCGCCCCTTCCCTCGTCAAAGTCCTCGCGGTACTCGTCGCGAACCTGCCCGCCCGACTTGCCTCGTCCGTACTGCCTCCCCTCCTCGAAGCCCGGGTCCAGGTCGGTCCTGATTATACGCTCGTCCAGCTTGGTGCCGCCGACGTACTTCATGCAGTCGAGCGCGTCCTGGTGGGTGTAGTACTCGACGAAGCAGAAGCCGCAGGGGGTCTTGTTGAAGCGGTCGAGGCCCATGATGAGTCGCTTGATCTCGCCGCACTTGGAGAAGAGTTCGTAGACTTGCTCCTCGGTCGTGTAGAAGGATCTGGGATTTCCGTCGAGAGATTCCTTCCAGTCAGCGAGAACGAGACGAGAACCGGAGAGCCGGAGAGCCTTCTGATGTGTAGGTTGGGAAGGAGAAGGGGAGAAGGAACATACAGGTTTCCGACGTAGAGCGTCGTCGCATTGGCTAGAGGGTCGACGGATGGCTCTGTCGGGGCGTCGGGTTCGTCGTCGCCGTCACGTCTGCGCTTGTTCTTCACGGTAAGGAGTGGTCAGCTCTCCTGTCTGGTTTTCGTCTTCTTTCTGAGTCTCGGCAATCTGTCATCCTCCTTCTTTCTCTCTCATCCCTCTCCTCGTCCTCGTCCTCGTCCTCGTCCTCTTCCTTCTTCTTCATCTTTCTTGGCCATGGAGTCTTACCCTGGCTTGGTAGTAGGCGCTGGGTTTGTCGAGACGATCGACTGTGTTGCGGAAGTCTGTCCTCATCGTGTAGGAGAGGACCGATAGCAGATCGGAACTGTGCGGTGTGGTATGGATATCCGAGCAGATTCTGACCGAGCTGGATAGTATTATGAGCTATTGTCGAGTCGGGAGAGGTTGAGGTTGCCAATTGAATGAGATACTGCAGTCTTCTGTTGCAGCGGCAAGCTGCACGGCCATGTCTCTCTCTTAGCCTTGGGTGGGCCGAGTGACGCCAGCCGGGGAAGCGCGCTAAACCCAGGCAGTAGCCTTTTTTCCCCAGCCTCAACCAACTTCTTCCATTGCTTTTCCTGTCAACCAACAGCTTTTTTCTCTCTTTGGCCTCTCCCCCCCTCCCTCGCCCTCACACACACACACACTCTCTCTCTTTCTCTCCCTCTATCCTCTACCCAAGAAACACAAGAGAACAACCCGGCGGACCGATCTTCATCTCAACTATCAACGATACAGCTTCCGCGTCACACTTGCTACAACATTCTACAACGTCTCTCCACGTCTGTCGCCGAATTTCGTACTACACACACTCGTTCTGGCAGAACCCAAAGTGCCGCGCCACGCAGAGCCAGACGGCTCCCGCCGCACGATGCCCAAGGTCAAGAGCTATTCGGCACCTTGGCTGTCCAAGAATGCTCCGGGATATCAGCTATTCGAACCGTCCACCGAGTCGCTCCGTTCACGAGCCCTCTCCCCCGCCGCGGCTTCCTCGAGGAGGGAGTCGGCTCCCGGCCCCAGGAGGACCATTGCCAATAGAGGCACGCAGGTCTTTGTCGCTTCCGGACGCGACATTCGCTGGGGAGACCTCGCCTACATCAAGGATCGGTGGACCGAGCGTCTGTCGAGTGGGAAGACGGGAAATTTCGGTGGTGTACGCATAAAGCAGGAAGATGAGGATGTCACCGAGACTATCGAGAATGAGGACGGTGCCGGAGGGATGAGGGTGAGTGCTGGCTAACCTTCCCCTTTGAAGACTGTCAAAGGCTTCTCTCTACTCTCTCTCTCTCTCTCTTTCCGGGAGAATGGCAAGATTTATCATTTACTGACTGGAAGGCCCCCTCCCCTCCCTGCGTATATAGACGATAAAAACTCGATGTGCCGAGGATATCCGGCAGCTCATCATGTCGCCCAACGAGAACCTCCTCGCTATCCTCACCACCCACACCGTCCACATCTGCATACTCCCCGACTCTGCCCACCTGACGAGCCAAGACACCGGCCCGCTCAAGCCCAAGATGTTCACCTTGGGCCCCACCACCCACGTCACGTCGCGATCCGCCGTCATGTCGGCCCTCTGGCACCCCCTGGGCGTCAACGGCTCCTGCCTGGTGACGGTCACGGCCGACGCCATCGTTCGGCTGTGGGAGCTGTCGACCGAGGACCGCTGGTCCTTTGACACGCCCACCATGTCGGTCGACCTCAAGAAGCTGGCCGACGGCACCAACCTGGACCAGGACTTCTCCGCCTCCACCACCAACACCAACAAGGCCTTCTCGCCCGACTCGTTCGAGATGGACGTGGCCTCGGCCAGCTTCGCCCACCGCGGCTCCGGCGGCTGGAACCCTATGACGCTCTGGATCGCCATGACCGAGGGCGACGTCTATGCCCTGTGCCCCCTTCTCCCGCAGAGGTGGGCGCCTCCGCCGACCCTGATCCCCTCGCTGTCCGTATCCATCGTCACCACCGTGGGCAGCATCGAGGACGATCCGGACGTGTCCGAGTACGAGAAGCTGCTGGCCCAGCAGCAGCTCGAGTGGATGGGCGAGATTGACGCCCAGGAGCCGCACATCATGGACTCTGCCCCGGGCGACCCCCTCGTCGAGGTGTACACGCGGCCGACGCGCCCCGGGGTCGTGCCCAGGCTGCAGGGCCCGTTCGAGCTGGAGTCGGACCCGGACACGGGCGACGACCTGGACACGACCATTACCGACATCACGGTGATCGGCAAGAAGACGGAGACGGCCGACCTGGTGGGCGGGGAGGAGTGGGGCGTGGAGGACCTCGAGATCGAGGAGCGGGACAGGGAGGGCGCGTCGCTGCCCGTGGTGTGCCTCCTGTCGACGAGCGGTCAGGTCAGGATCTACCTCGACCTCGACGGCATACAGGCGCAGTGGCTGCCCCCGCGCACCAAGTCGACGCGGCTCGGACGTCTGCTCGCCTCGTCGGCCGTGGGGCCCCCCTCGCTGCTCGCCTTCCAGGCCATCGACACCATGAGCCCCGTCGAGGTGAGCGAGGAGAGCTGGCCCGTCTTCAGCCTGGACGTCATGTCACGCTACGATCTCTACGTGACCCACCACGCCGGCATCGTCTCCGTGTCGCTCGCGCCGTGGATCTTCCGGCTGGAGAAGGAGCTGACGGGCGAGTCCGAGGCGGGCACGGACTTCCGCGTCAACCTCGTCGTCAACTCGCAGTCGTCGAGGGACCGCATCTTCTCCCAGTCGACGGCCGACTCTACGGTACCCCTGGCCGCGGCCGTGACCATCATGGACCCGGACATCGGGTATTTCCTGCTGTCGTCGACACTGTACGACCCCGTGGCGCTCACCTTCGACTCGCCCGACGTGGAGGTGCCGCCGCCCCTGATGACGGAGGACGGCAGGAGCGCGTCGGCGGTCGGTGCGTACCTCGAGCGCGAGGCCAGCATCCTCAAGAAGCAGGCTCCCCCGCTGGACTTCTACGAGCCGCGCCCGACCTTCAACCCGCCGCACGCCTTTGACGAGGGCTCGATGCTCCCGAACCTGCTGGAGCGCGCCAAGACGTCGCGCCACCGCACCCTCTTCAGCCAGGAGGTCCGTCTGAGTCCGCTGACGCTGTCCGTCTTCACGGACGCGCACAAGGTGCTCAGCGACGAGACGTACCGGCTGGGCGTGGCGGCGGCCGAGGTGTTCCGGTGGTGCGCCATCCTGCAGGCGGAGCTGCGGCAGCAGATCGACAAGGCCAACGAGGTCAAGAGCAAGATCGATGCCATCAACGGGGCCCACGGCGACACGGGCGAGCCGGACGGCGTGCAGTACGACCGGAGGATCCGCGAGGCCCGCACGCGTCAGGACCGGCTGACCGAGAGGCTGGACAGGCTCCGTCTCCTGGCCGGCAAGTCGGGCACCCGCGCCCTGAGCACGAAGGAGAAGGCCTGGTTCGGAGAGCTCGAGTCGGTTGAGGCCAACGTCGACCCCTCGGCGGCCGGCCACACCCGCCAGGCGAACCAGCGGCAGCAGCAGGAGCTCTGGAGAAGGCTGCACAATGTCGAGGAACTACGGGCCGAGCTCACATCCGAGGTCAGCTCGATCAACAAGGCCAAGGGTCTCGCTTCTCCTTCTTCTTCTTCTTCGTCTTCTCCATCTTCCTCATCTTCCTCCTCTGCTCCTGCTGCTGCTACCCCAGGCCACCGTGCCACCGTGAGGGGCCACACCAGGAGTGGAAGCAGTGTCTCGGACTTTAGAATTCCCAACGACATCCGGAGATCCAAACTCCAGCAGGTTCAGAGTCTGCTCGAACGTGAAACGGCCCTCGTCGAGGCTGTGACGGCGAGGTTGGAGAGACTCCAGACAGTCTAGGCGGGGGGGAGGGGCACCAGCTGATGTCGGTGGGAATGCCGGTGGAATGTTTTTTTTTCGGATGGCGTGATCGAAGGATGATGTGGTGGAGGGAATCGAACTCGAATTCCAGCTGAGTAAGTGTTATCAATCACGCAGAGAGGGGTTCATTAATGCGATGAGGCTTCGGGAGCAAGACGGATGAATAGATTTCGCTTCAATGACATATTTCCTATTGAAACGGTACAGCGGCAGGTGTTGATGGTGTCAGGGCGCGCACAGTTCATGAGGGTATATAATTGAATGACACCGTGCGTCGCTGTCTCCTTCCTGATGGGATCAGCTTGCAGATCACGTCTGACAGTGTGAAGCTACGTCTGACCGGAAAGCGGGAGGATAACTTGCTATATTGCAGTTACGGGATGGTGAGGCTTCCTGTGATGATCTAGCTATGACGATGTGCTTTGCTGTTGAAAGCCTTAGGCCACCTAGGTCACGTGGATCAGCCGGCCCTTTCGGCACACATGCCAGATCAGGCAGCTTTGCTGGCTTCCTTTTATCATCATCATGACATCCATTTCTTCGACTTCCTGTGTCACCTTTGTGCCCCGATAGGACGCGTACGCCTGGCGGATTGCCCGACCGGACCTGCGGGACACGACATCTGCAATATCTACCAAATCCATACAAAGGAAGAGATATACATATTACAGTTCATGAAGATCGCTATACATGTACGGAATAGTGATGGGTGATTGACTTGCACCCTCCGAGCTTCTCGATGAAACATTCATGCTCGTCTTGCAGTGACTTCGGGCTGCTGTCCATTACACCCTCGTGAAATAGGGTCACCCTCCCCCCTATATCGTGCTAGTAAGTTCCAGTTGCATTAAAACATGTGCAGATGTGGCGTCGTAAAGGATCCAGTCCGGATTAAAATGGGGTTAAGGCGATAAGAGGATTTGTATGTGCACATCATTCACGGTGGCATGAGCTGATGGCATGCTTCCGTCTCGTGATACCCGCTCTCTCTCTCTCTCTCTCTCTCTCTCTCCCTCTTTCTGTCTGTCTGTGTCGATATGCACGAGATGCATGCCTTGATGTTACCCGTGTACGAAGTCTCCAACCAAATTATATACCTTATCTCGAGGGTTTACAGTGAATTGCACAGGCATGTAGATATGATATACACATGTCTTGTCGGGCCTTTCAAGACTTGGGAGGACTTCCCAAGGCCAAATTCACGGGAAGATATAAGAGTGGAGGAACAGCACCTCTCTCTCTTGTCTGCCTGTCTCTTAACGACTCCCATACTTTCTTTCCTTCACATCGTCTTCTGGTCTCTTCCCGTGTCCTCAACTCCCATACTCCTACTTCGCAGTCTATTCTCGTTCTCCGTCCCGTCTCCTTCTTGTTCGTATACCATACCGACCGTCCTGCTCTTGTAACCGTACTTGCTATGACTGCCACCTCGGCAAAAATGAAGGACCGCGTTGCTATCTCGCTGCCCCTCGAGACTCTGATCAAAGGTAACGTTTCCAACGCTCTCGCCCCTTGGGGAAGACAGACGGAGAGACGGAGAGACGGAGAGACGGATATATATATCTATATGGAGAGAGAGAGAAGACGGAGGTCTGATGACACAAGCACAGACAACTGCTCATTATATCCCGGCGACGACCATGGCGGATACAGACTCAACACTGTCACCCAACTCGACGTCCGCGGAACATGGACGGCCACAGTCCTCAAGACGTCGACCTCTGGCAAGGAGCAGCCCCAGGTCCTGTACAAGTCCAGGGGCCAGGATCTGACCAGGGTCATGGAAGATCTTCTCGAGCAGACGGCCAAGATGATGAACCTCCACATAAACCAGAAAGGCTACACTAATCTCGTGAGCAGGAGCAGGAGCCGCCACGGCCACGACCACGACCACAGTCACATGTCCTCCTGCGCCAGGTGTCACGCATACAGCGAACGCAGCGACGACGACGACGGCGACGACAAAGATGATGACGAGGCCGTCAAGAGCGACAACGACGACAGCAGCGTCACCTCCGACGACTCCAACTGGTCCGCCAAGGCAGGCAGGCGCCCGCCCTCTACCGACTCTGGTTCGGCGGGTGGTACCACCGTCCCGTCCGCTGCCACCACCATCACCACCAAGCTTCCAGCCCCGCCGCCCCCGCCGCCCGCGAACGTCACCGAGGTCACGACCTTCAACCCTCCCCCGCCCCCCCCCGTTTCCGCCATCCCGCCCCCCCCGCTCCCTCGTTTCCAGGAGAGCGACGGCGCCGAGAAGAGGGTGGGTGGTGTCCCTGCCATGACCCGACCCCATCAGCCGATGCCCGACCCCGTACCCTTCGAGATGAGGCGCCCCAACCCCCCACCCGCACATGCCGCCGCCGCCGCCGCCGCCGCCGCCTCAGCTCCCCGCCCAGAGGTTCCCGGACCGCTCCGGCGTACCCACTACGTTGCCAGGCTCGCACTGATCAACGTCAGCTGGGTGGGACACCTGAGATGCTCAACCGTCAACCGGATCCCCCTCCGCGCGACCGAGATCACCGGAGCGGCCATCGTGGCCGCCGAGGCCCGCGGCCTGCACCGCAACGGTGGGCATGGGAGGGGGCCGGTCAGGGCCGTCATCAAGGGTGTCCGCGTCGGTGCCTTTGAGATCCAGGTCAGGTGCCAGGTTGAGAATGTCGAAGCCCTGATTGACGGGTTCGTCAAGAACGGGTCTCTGCCGTCTTGGGCGGATATGCCCATGCCTACTATCGAAGTCGAGGTCCGCATCGACTCCGGCCGCGGTAACTGAACGTAGTCTTCTCATCAGATTTGTATCTTCTTTTCTTTTCTTTTCTTTTTCTTTTCTTCTTTCCTTTTCTTCTTCTTTTCTTCTTTCCTTCTTCTTTTCTTTCTCTCTCTTCTTCTTCTTCTTCTTTTCTCCTTCTTCTCCTACTCCTTCTCCTTCTCCTTTTGTTTATTTTTTTTTTCCATCACGAGTTATAGCTCCCGGTGATGACTCTCTCTTTTTATAGCTTTGTAATCTTAGATGATGCGGCAGTAAAGAACGAATACGTCTGTCCCTCTTTCAACTATTTCTTCCCTCCCATTATCCATTGCCCTCCCTACTCTTACCATCTATTGTCAACTAGGTCTTGACCCCTCCCCTGCCACAACTCAGTCGGTGTGAGTGTGACGACGCACTGCCGCAAAGGCGTCTTGAATCTGCGAGAAGCTGTCGTAGAGTAGGACTGACGAGGCGTAACGATGTCAGCTCTAAGAGGGCAAAGACAGTGTGATTGCAATGAAAAACACGACGATCCCAAGAAAGGAAAAGAAGAAGGAAGAAGAGAGAAAACTCACCAAGTGGCACAAACACCCACGGCGAGTTGAACCCAGCATAGTACACCCAGTAATACAGAAACTCGGGGCGACTGCAAGATAGACCCTCGGCCCAGTTAGTCGCGTAGTACAACGTCACGCCGTACAGGTGGGCGACGCAGACGATGATCTGAAGCGGGTGACGGCCGTCGTGGCCACGCAGGATGGCGAGTAGGACGAGGAGGGACAGAGGGCCCCAGACGAACTTTTTTTTTTTTTTTTGTCATTTCATTTTTCATCCTCCATGTCAGCCAAGATGAGCAAGGGCTCGTGTGTGTGATGATGATGATGATGATGATGATGTTCGGCAAGGAGCAAGAGAGGAGATTTGAAACAAGTCGGAGAAGAGAAAAAACATACAACAGTTATCATCTCGACACAAACGGTAAAGACGTCGAGAGTTAGATACCGCGAATCGGAAAGCGTGTATTCCTTCCATAGCTGGGCAAACAGCGTATTCATTCCGGCAATATCATGTCGATGATATATATAGTACCCTGTTTAGTCAGAGTCACCCCCCCCCTCTCTCTCTCTCTCTCTCTTTCTCTCTTCCTCTATAACAGGTTGAAGCCAAGACTTGACTAACCTTCAAAGGAAACATGTAGGAAACCGCCTGATAGACAGTTAGCAGACAAGAACCCCTAGTCAAAGGGGGGAAAGGGGGAGGAAAGGCAAGGAGGCCGCAGCTCACATAGGGCAAACCAAGCGGCTGCAAAGCGGTCAACAGGGCGAACATTGGCAGCGCACCGGTACGCAACCACGACGACGACAGCAATTATGGCGCCGAATGAGCCGGCGATGGCAGGTAGCGACGATGAATTGGCTACATAGTTCGGTATGATGATGGATGGGGGGAAATACGGGTGGTCCATCTTTCTAGGACGACAAGAGGGGATGAGTGTCGTTGATGATGGAGAGAGTAATTGATATGAGAGCTGTCGACTGGGACATGGTGTCTGTGCATTGTGGGGGGGTTTCGTTGTCCTACCTCGAACTATGGAACTTGATAACAGTATATCAATATTACAGCACAGCCCAAAACAATAATCCAGATATGCATCATAATCATAGTTATACAGTAGCCGGATGCGGATGGTCTAGATGGATGCCGTGTAGGAACAGCCGTCGAACTATCGACAGACGATGAGGCAAAAGGACCGACAGGACCCGTCACGGATGTGGAGGCAACGGTACCGGGTAGCTGGCAGGCCGCGCCCAGATAATGCAGGGCGAGGGTGAGAGGAACGAACAGACAGCCCTCGTGCGCTTGGTCCATGGACGAGGTGAGGCAGCGTATATCCGCGCCTCCCCCCTTCGGTCGGGAAGAGCGATGACCACCTCGGGGATGCTCTCTCGACATCTGGGTCCATGCCCATGCTCAACGCAACGGCCCGACGGATAGAAGTCGAGGTCCGCCTTGAAGAGTGCCGGGGGGGGGGGGGGGGGGGGGGGGGGGGGGGTGAGGAGCGGTCCGTCGGCCTCGACAGTTTTCGGGCGTGGCCTCGTCGGCACCCACTCTGACATCAGACGCCGACACAGATGCTCCCGGGTCTGCCCACGCACGGTCCATCAGGGTCGCCGGGATGGCGGTACCGCTGCCACCGAGATCCAGCACGTCGACGGAGTTGCCGGTGGGGAGGGCCTTGCCCGTCTTGACACCTGCCGGGTCCGTGAAGCCCACTGCCATCTTGGGATGCGGTCCCAGGCAACGCCGTCGAGGGTATAGCATAGCCCCCCCACCTGGACCAAAAGGTGCAGCCGACGTCGACGTCTGGCCTGGACGGCCTGTCCAGGATGACGACCTTGGGCGTGGACCGATATCCCCGACGCCCATCCCGTTCAGCTGTCGAGCGCGATACCCATCCGGCGAGCCCAGGGCCGCGGAGAGAGAGCACCGTGCGCCACTCGTCACGCGGTGGGCAGGCCCTCAGCGTCGATGACCAGGCCGTCTGGCGTAGCCGCCCCCCGTCATGAACGTGCCGGCAAGCTCCGCCGACCGTACGAGACCGCCTTCGACGACGAAGACGAACCGAGGCCGCCTGAGATGGTGAAGCGATTGGCCACGACGGGACGACGATGCCGTCAGCGTCGCATCCCTCCCCCAGAGCCGAGCAGGCCTCGTGGCTGCAAGGGACGTGGTGGTCGTACAGCCGGGATCGATAGTCTTGTCAGATTAGGGAACATATGACCGACAGCTGCGAGACACAGGCTGTCGGTCTCGATCGTCTTGATTCGCCGTCGCCATTTCAGCGGGTCTGTCCTGAAGAGTCGATTCATCGCTGGGCGGTTTCGGTCATTGCAGCCGATCTAGACGGTCCAGAAAAGGTAGGGTAAATACCGCCGTAGAGATGGACCGAAAGGACTCCTCTCTCCTCTCTCCCCTACTATGCCATCTCCAACTCTCATCTCCATCTCACGACACATGACACACACTCACGTCTGGGAGGAAGACGCCATCGAGAACCTCCCCCCCCCGCATTCAGATTCGATAGCCTTTAAGCTTGTGCGACCGTTTAGTGCTTACACACGGCAAGCAGGTCTCATGAGAATCTGCCTCTTACGGGTCGAGAATATGCTGAATCGGGATGATGGCTTGCATGCTGAATCGGGATGATGGCTTGCAAGCCACGCATCATCTATCGCTCGTGAAAGGACAGGTCATGTGCGACTATTGAAGATGAGAAAATCAAAAACTCCATCCATACGGTGATCCCATGCCATTCGTCAGCCTCGTCTCGAGGAACGCCGTCGCATTGCATCCTTTGTCTGCTTCTGGCCCGCTGACCCGCTGGATTTCCTTGGTTCCCGTTCCCGCCTGCAGGCCGCTTTGACTTCCCATGCAGCTGCATCCTTCCAAGATAATAATAAGCAAAAAAAAAAAAAAAAAAAAAAAATCTTCCGATCTTGGTAATTTGAAAACAACAAGGCAGTGGGGCCCCAAGGCCTGACATTGTCATGTATGAGCGTCGAGGCCTGATATTGCCATGTAAGAATCAAGGAAAAATCCGCCATTCGGCATGGTGCCCCAAACTGGTCAACGAGCCCGTGTGTCAGGCGGGAACCCCATCTGCTGGCTTGGCTTGCCTTGTCGAAAGATGCGGTCTCGTAGCTATAAAAGAGGAGGGGACGCTTGGGGTGATGAGACCCGATCATGCAGAGGTGTTCATCATTGCTCTCATAGCTATCTACTCTACATCTCAAAGACATACGGCGGAGAAGAAGAAAGAGGAAGAAGAAAGAAGAAGAAGAGAAAGAAGCAGGATGCATTCGCTCATGAACCGTCTCCCGACGCTGTCGCTGCTGCTCGGGGTGGTCCTGGCGGATACGTGCTCTCTAGTGGCGGACCTTACTTCCGTCCAGGTCTCCCTTCCGCTGACGCTGTCCTACACGGTCGAGCAGAACGAGTACTGGTCCGAGTCGTGCACCCTCCTCACGCCGTCGTGCATCATATTCCCCAGGAGCGCGCAGGAGGTCGCCGCCGTGGTCGACATACTCAGGGACCAGGACGAGCAGTTCGCCGTCAAGTCCGGGGGCCACAACCCCAACCTGTACTGGTCCAGCGTCTCCGGCGGCCCCGTCATCTCCACGGCCGAGCTGGACGAGGTCACGCTCGACCCCGAGACGGGCGTCCTGCGGGTCGGACCGGGCAACCGGCTGCAGGACGTGGCCACGGCACTCGACGGCACCGGCTGGACCTTTGTCGGCGGGCGGATCGGCAACACCGGCGTGGGCGGCCTCATGCTCGGCGGCGGCCTGTCGTACCTGTCCGCCCAGCACGGCTGGGCGGCCTCGTCGGTGTTGGAGTACGAGGTCGTCCTGGCCGACGGCTCCGTGGTGACGGCCTCGGCCTCGTCCCACCCGGACCTGTACGTGGCCCTCAAGGGCGGCGGCAACAACTTCGGCGTCGTGACGGCCTACACCGTCCAGGCCTACCGCCAGGGCTCCGTCTACGGCGGGAACCTCGTCTTCCAGCACACCGATGCCACCGCCGCCAGGCTCCTGCAGGCCGTCCGCGACTTCACCGAGTACAACGACGACGACAGGGCCGCCGTCATCGTCACCGCCGAGCGCGCCGCCCTCAACGCCGTCGACACCTGGATCCTCTTCGTCTTCTACGACGGCGCCGACCCCCCCGCCGACCTGTTCGCCAACTTCACCGACGCGGGCCCCTTCCTCAACACCCTCCGCGTCCGCTCCTACGCCAGCATGATCAACCTGAGCAACTGGGTCGTCGTCCAGGCCTCCACCGTCGACATATCCACCGAGACCATCCCCATCCCCTCACACGACGACGGCCCCGACTTCCTGGGGGACATACACTCCTTCTGGCGCTCCACCACCTCCTCCGTCATGTCCGTCCCCGGCATCGTCGCCTCCATAGCCTACCAGCCTTTCCCTAAGCGCATCGCCGCCGCCGCCCGGGATACCGGCCGCCCGGACCTCATCGACGCAGACCCCGACGCCGACAAGCTGATCCTCGAGATCAACTACAGCTTCCTCCCCGGTCCCTTCGACTACATGGCCGACGTCACAGAAGCCACCTACACCGGTATCAGGGACAGGGCTGTTGCCGCCCAGGAACAGGGCATACTGCCGGATGATGTCTACCTCCCCGTCTTCATGAACTACGCATTCTTCCGGCAGGATTACTGGGATAGGCTCAAGCCCGAGAGCAGGGCGCTCGCTCAGACTGTTGCTGAGAATTATGACCCCGATGGACTGTTCCGTGACCGCACTGGGGGATGGAAGCCGTAGGCTGACCTCAGTCTTGAACATCACGCGTGATACGCCGAGGCCGAGCAATGCTGAGTGAGTGAGATGGGTAGATAGCCTCTCTGGGCTTCTGTATCAGTACAACTATCCATATAGCTTAACTATCTACGTATTCTGAGGGGTGTGTGATTGCTTCCCTGGCTGTATCATGTCTTGCCCTCTTCGCTCTCCTTCTCCCTCTCCTTCTCCGTCCTCTTCTCGCACGGCCTAACTCCCTTTCTAACCCAGATCTCCCCGATCGAATCCACTCCCTCAGCGACACACTCCCACTCACCATTGCCGCCATAGGGCTTGACCTTGCGCATACACCTTCCACCACCACCGCCTATGATCAGATTCCCGGGGCGGTACGACGGATCGGCCTCGATACGGCGAATGACGGAACCACGCACACGCACATTGTCAGGAATCTCCCGCGTCTCCCCACGTGCAAGGGGCCACCGATTGGGCTTCCATGTTTCCATCAGCTTGAGGATCCATCCACCTAGAGGGGGGCCACTCCGTGAATTTTCAGGTGGCTACGGTCGAGGCTTTACCTCCCGTCTCGAAACACAGAGAGCCGTATTCAGTTTGTCAGGGAAAGAATGAAAGAGTTGATGATGATGATGGCGGAGAAGAATGTCACGGGATGGGAATCTGGAAGAAGCTGGACATGTAAACTGTAAAAATTAATACAGGCAATAGCTATCGGTGGTTCTTTCCTGCTTCTGCACCGGATCCTACCGAGAGAAGGAAGGGCCGTCCCTAGTCTCCTTGCCCCTCTTTCCTTTCTTTCTTCTGTCTCTCCCACGTCCCTCGTTCTGCAATTCCATTCCATTCATAAGTTCATAAGACCGAATACCAGATGAGATCAGACCTAGCAATCCCCCCCCCCCCCCCCCCCCCTTCATCGTCTTCTCAATCATAAGACCTCAACGGCGTCTAGCTTGAAGAGTCGCGTTCGTTTATCCGACGAAGATACCTGCCCTGTGATACACGGTCGATATTCTCGATGGAATGCTCCGAGATGTGATTGGTGAGCATTCGTCCTCGGGGCTGTTGCTTGCTCTTATAGGTAGCTCCACATGCAGATTTCTTGCAAGTTCAGCAACGTTGCGGTATTCGAGCTCTCCATATTCGACTGTATACTTTTCTTCCAGTGGCCGGCGCGTATCCTGCAGCAGTGTTCTGAGGCGAGAGTTGAAGGGGACGATATGCTCTGAGCAGTACAGCTTGGAGTTGCAAGGTTGATGAGTCAGTATAGTGACGGAATATGTTTGCAGTGCATTGCAACGACACGCAATCTAGACGGCATCACATTACATGAATGTGCCCTCTCCCGGATTGCGTCTGACACATCGTATATTCTGCGCCTGATCTTTCAAAGCTTGCTCTCCCTGTAAGACCTATCCGCCACCCCATCTGCCCACCGCAGTGCCTCTTCTACGACGACGACACCCTCACTACCGCCGATCGTACCGTCCCTGTCTTGCGTATCAACAATGATATCCGCCGCCCCATCTAAAACATACAGGCCGTTGGTAGCAGCCGACATGATGGGCTTACCTCCGCCCGTCCCGCCCGTCCCCGCGGAGCAGGACACCATCCCACGCCCCGTGACTACGGCGCATCGCAGCTCGGGCTCCGCCTCGAACCACCCCCACAGCTCACCGAGCCGGTAGTGCATCTTCCGTCGACGCACATCTGCCCTCCCGCGTCTTTCGAGCGTCACGAGGAGGATGTGCCGTGCGGGACGGGATAGATTTACATCAGGGTCGTGAGGTGGTGTCTTGTTGAGGCTTTGTGAGGTGACCACCCTTTGGGGGGATGTCGTGTGCGCTGTGCTGAAGAAGTGTGGGCCGCTGCGGGTGTGGTCGATGCGTTGCATTGTCTCTTACCCTCTCCCGATGTTTTCTTCTCCCGTTCTGCGTCTCGTTTCGGTTCGTCGTTTAAACTCTTCTTACCACAGGCAAGGACCCATTGTGGAGTTGTATACGGGGAATTGAAACCGTGGCCGCTGAGTGCTTCTACGAGCTGCCTCATCGACCGGGTGACGTACTCCGTGTTGAATCTCCGCCCGGCCCTAGGCTCTGACGGCCCCGGCCCCGCTCGCCCCCGCACTTTTCCTGCATACATCCATGGGGCAATATCAGAGGAGTAATATTGATACCGCCAGCATACGTTTGATCATCTTCTTTTTCCTTTTTTTTTTTTTGGGTTGATATTAAGTGTGTTGTCTGATACAGCCATTTGTACATTCGCCCCTTTTCCTTCCCTCCTGCATCCAGTCTAGTTCATGATTGTAAAGCCAGCCATTTCCCTACGCAGGCAGACATCTCTTCTCCGACTCCGTAAAGAAGATGACCATGCGCCAGAGCTTCTTGACCAAGTCTTCGGCCTCGTCGTCCAATGCCTGTAATGTTGTTAGTAGAGTGCACAAGTGAGCAGAATAAACAGAATGCGAGGCCGAAAGGAGGAGATACGGAGGCAAAAGGAGGGAAATGTTACTCACCCCTTCGAGCTCTTCTGCCAGAGCAGCCGCAGACCCATGATTCCGCAGGTGCTCCTCGACCGTCTCGACGAGCATCTCCTCCTGCACACCGAGGTACTCGACAATCTTCTTCTCCACAAAGGGACGCAGCTTGTCGCGTATCACCGTGTCGTCCATATAGTCCCACTGGACCTGCCACCCCCACAGGCCTTCCTTGTCCGACGGTATCTCCTGTGCTAGGGCCCTGATGGCCTGCGAGATTTCCTCATCCGTCATGCTGGCCGTGGCCGACGTCGGCTCGAACTGGATGGGAATCAGCTGCCTCTTCGTTGAGGCGTCGGTCTCTTCGTCATCCAGGAGACCCTCCACCTCGGCGATGGTGCGCCTCTGCACGCCGACTCGCGATGCCTGGGCCTTCTGCGCCGCTGCGCCGAGCGACAGCTTGAACGGCTGGGGAGCCGCCGCCGCCGCCGAGTCGGGCTGCTGCTGCTGCTGCTGCTGCTGTGACTCGCGCCGCGGCGAGCCCATCTCCTGCGCCTGTCGGTCCAGGAACGAGTCTGCCATGCCCCGTGCCCGCTCGGCGTTGGCCTGCTCGCGACGCATCTCTTCCTTCTCAGCGCGTCGGTCCGCCTCGTCCCTCGTCTCTTCGTCTACGCGGTCTAGCTCGCGCTTTCGAGCCCAGCCCGCGTGATCGCGGTAGTACGGGTGTGACTTGAGGCTGGCTTCGCGCTCATCGTTCCACTCACGCTCGCGCTCGAGCTGCTCCTTCTTCCTACGCTCGAATGACTCGGCCTCCCGAGCCTCGCGCTCTCGCTCACGCTCCAGAGCCGCCTGCCGAGATCGTTCGCGGTTGGACCATTTACGCTCCGCCTCAGCGTATGCCTTGTTCGCCTCGGCATCCTTCTTGGCCTTCTGCCTTGCATAGAGCTCCTCATCATCCATGTCCGCGTCCTGGTCCTGCTGGTTGATCGAGTACTCAGAGTTGGATACACCGCCATTGACAAAGGTGACACGGTCCAGGCCGTTCTGCCCCTTGGGACCGGACGGTGCGCCGCGAGGGCCGACGGGAACGCTGTTGGCACCGACGCCACCCTGAGGGTGAGTTTCGTGACGGGAGTGTCGCGGCGCTCCGCTCCGTTGTCGCTCCATCTCCTCCATCTCTTCCTCTTTGCGAAGTCGCTCCAAGTCCCGCTGGTTGCTGCGCTCGCGAAACGCCGCGATCTCCCCAGCCACAATCTCTCGCATTTCCGCCGGTATATCGGCCAGTTCGTCGTCCTGGGCCAGCGCAATGTTGACCACCTCGACCTTGTCGTCTTTGTCGACGTCTTTCATGACCACGTCGGCATCGGCATCAGACCCAGCGGGCGGGTAAAAGAGTTCATGAACAACCTTTTGCAAGGCATCCCTCGCTGTCTGCAGTCGCTGCCCAGCGACGGAATCCTCACCCTTGTCTTCCTGATATGCAGCGAGGTACTTGAGCGACGCAGGATCAACCTTGACTTGCAGAACCATCTTGTCAATTCCTTGGAAACTGTCGTCCGTGGGGGGCTCAGCAACGGACTGTTGTCGGACGAGCGGGACCTCGACCGTCTGGTCCACCAGAAGCTTCACGGCTGTTGCTAGCGATTCAGTATCATCATACATAGCGAAGCCAAACTTGGCGCCAGCCTTCTGGGGGGCGTCAGGTGTGCTAGACGCTGCGTCCCAGCGCTTGAGCTTCCCGGCGGCGCCGAGGAGCCTCTCCAGGCTGTTGCCGATACGAAGGCTCTCGGGGATGTCGTGGACGAACAGAGACCGGAGTTTCTCCTCGCTGGAAGGCGGAATCAGCGTCTGAACCTGTTCTCTCTGGTGCCTGCCACCCTGATCGCCGCCCCTGTCCGCACCAAGGCCAGGCCTACCGTGGCTCGGCCCATGAGGCCTGTCTGGTTCCTGGGAGGCCGGCATGCTAGGCTTTCCAGACCCTGTACCTAGGCGGATGACAGGGGCACTGAAGTTGATATTGGGCATGTTCGGCGGGGGTTGGAAGGATGGGGGGAGGCCGCTTGGACGATTAGCTTGAGAGGCGTCATGCTGCTGAAGCCCAGGAGGGGCCATTCCCGGAGCGGGAGACATGCCTGGTGGAGGTACTGTCGACCAGGTTAGCCGTCGACGTATGGATATATCTCTGTGGTAAACGAGTTTGAAGACTCACCTAGGCCAGGAGGGGCACCCATCGCTGGTGGAGCAGCCCCCGGATAGCTACCGTAGGCTGGTGGCGCGCCGTATTGATGGTGTCCTGCGGGCAAAGACGAAGGGAGGTTAGCGGCTTCGCGGCTATCGACTACCATCGGACTCAATCTGCCCGGACTTACCGCGTCCATATTGGTTGTAGGCCATGGCCTCTAGCTTCCTGCTGGCTTGCAGTTTGCTTGGCCCCCTGCAGGCACAGACGATATCGGCGAGCAGCCGCACGACGTTGAAGGGCTGTCGCGGTCGCAAGGTCAAGGAAAGGCGGTGGATTGAACTTAGACCTGCCTCTGAACGGATGCTTGCAGCCTCGATATCTCACAGCCTATCATCGATTTGCTCGCCTGGTTCGAATGTGTCGTTGTGCGAATCGCGCCGAGATGCACGTGCGTCAATCAGTTGCTGGTTCGTGCAGTTCTGGCCGTCGCATCAAATTGAGAGTGCGAAAGAAGAAAAATGGCCCCTCCACAATTAGTAGCTGGGATTGGATATTTCTTAGTCAGCCAGTCAGCATGCGAAATTGCGACGTCATGAACAGGTGAGGAGTATTTCAACAGGGGATTGGGATGTGATATCATGCGTCGGTTTTTCTACAAGGGAAACTTGCAGAGCGATACAGAATCATACAGATCGATATTGCCTGGCTACTATTGCACTTTTTATCATTATCATTCTCGTTTGAAGAAGCCTCTGTGTTGTTATCCGATCCTTCATATAAACGTACCGTATTCAATCACGTGCTTTTCGCGTCACCGTTGTGCAAGCCAGGCAAGTGCGACGCGTTTTACAGGGCCCCCCTTTCCTCTTCAGGAGGTGGGGATTGTTTTCTTGAGCTAGAAACTAAACAACGGCAACGGGCGTCAACAATCATCATACATTCACCTACATGCACCTACTAGTAATACATGCACTCCGCCGCCCCGCGACCGCAGGTCCCGAGTTCTTCTCGACAGTAGAGCAAGAGAAACAGGCCGTGCTATTTCAAATACTCGTATAGACCGTGTCAGTCTATTGTTTCACGCTCCACCGTCTCACAAGCCTATTCACAAATTCCTTCCCGCCATGGCCTCCTCATTTGGTGACGCACCCAAGTCTCGACGGTCGAGCATGAACCCCGCCACCGACGACGGGTCGGGTGCCTTGACATCGTCTCTCAGCCAGCTTACCATATCTCAAGATGGTTCCTCCGACTATCCATCTTCTAGGGAGCCGAGGCCGACTATTGCTCGCAAACAGTCTACACCCACGCCTCTACGACCGCCTTCGTCTACTTCGAGAGTCCGCGGCTCTTCTCGCAGCCCCTCAGCCGGCCCTCGCTCTCGCGCCAGCTCTCCCACACTTCACCGCAAAGCTTCGATGAACTCGCTGCACTCGGCTAATGGCGTCGGACCCAGCCAGCCTCGACTTCGCCGTGCCAGCTCCGGCCAGCCCCTGTCCCCTGGCCCTAAGCACCCCCCTTCTCCCCAGTCTCCTGTGCAGGAGAGGGCACCGCTCATGACTCCAGCTAGTGTTGCCGCCGACTGCCTGAGGGCGGAGCTCGATGCGCACCACGGTGACAGCTCCTCACCGCTGCCGTCCCCCGAGCTAGTCATCATCCTCAACGATGCCGTCTACGGTCACCGCTTCTCTCGCCCGCGCACCTCGAGAGCGGCGCTCAACACCATTGTCGAACGGCCCGAACGCATCAAGGCTGGTGTTCTCGGTATTTCGCTGGCATACATTCGTCTCGGACAGCGTCACAGTGACGGTTCCGTCCCATTGCATCCAAAGCGGGACCCCCAGGCTCTCCCCAGTATCCCTTTCCGTATTCGGAAGACGACAAGGAGACTTGCCCTTCTTTCACAGGCCGTTACCAACGTCCATGGGACTAGGTGGATGGACGAGCTCAAAGCCATGTGTGAATCGGCCGAGTCCAAGCTTGCCATGGGTGGCAAGGAGCTGGAACGCCGACCGACGAGCAGAGGCGGAGACGACGCAACGCCTGCTAAGCTTCATGAGGGTGACCTCTACCTCTGTTCCGAGTCTCTCGACGCCCTGGAAGGCGCCCTCGGTGCCGTCTGCGAGGGTATCGACACAGTCTTTGGCCCCGGGCCTCGCCGTGCCTTCGTTGGCGTCAGGCCACCCGGCCATCATTGCTCTGCGTCTCACCCCTCGGGCTTCTGCTGGGTTAATAACGTCCACGTCGGCATCATGCATGCTGCTCTCAACCACGGGCTTACTCATGCAGCCATCATTGACTTTGACCTGCACCATGGTGATGGGTCCCAGTCCATTGCTTGGGAGCAAAACAAGCGATCCGTCTCAACCACCAAGAACTCCGCCCAGTGGAAGAAGACGTCTGTCGGGTACTTCAGTCTCCACGACATCAACTCCTATCCCTGCGAGGGGGGTGACGATGAGAAGGTCAAAAATGCCAGTCTGTGTATCGACAACGCACACGGACAGACAATTTGGAACGTGCACCTCCAGCCGTGGGCGACGGAGGAGGAGTTTTGGGAACTCTATGAGTCCAAGTACACAGTAATTTTGGAAAAGGCACGCCTCTATCTCAAGAATCAGGTACGGAGGGTGCGCGCCCTGAATCTCGAACCCAAGGCTGCCATCTTCTTGTCGGCCGGCTTCGATGCCAGCGAGTGGGAAAGCCAAGGCATGCAGCGTCACCAGTCCAATGTCCCTACCGACTTTTATGCCCGTATCTCTCAGGACGTTGTTAAATTAGCTGCCGAGGAAGGCTTGGGCGTCGAGGGCCGCGTCATCAGCGTGCTTGAGGGAGGTTACAGTGACAGGGCCATCGCCTCGGGTACATGTAGTCACATCTCAGGACTTGCAGGCAACCAGAGACTAGACTCAGTCCCGACGGGTATCGACAGCCTCGGTTCGGAGATGGGCAGAAGGATGAACGGCCTCGGCAAAGAGCCCATCTATGAGGCGGACGAGGGACTTGCATCGCTACACCCTTACAACCCTTCGTGGTGGGCCGGGCCACAGCTGGACAAGCTAGAAGACCTTATGGCAGGCCCCCCTGATATCCCCAAGAAGCCTCGCCAGGTGACGCCTTCGACCTACTCGTCGCCAACTCAGGCCTCCACGGCCAAGGTGGCAGGCCCCATCAGGATGAGACGCAGCTTCTCGGGTCTGTCGGCTGCTAACAAAGCCATGGCTATCCAGCCGCCGTCACCCCCACCGCCTGAGGTCCCCTGGCATGTTGCCGCCCACGAGCTGTCTAAGCTTCTCATCCCTGTCGACCGTCAGACGAATAGCTGCAAACACGAGGACCTCAACGCTGAGGCCACCCGTATTCGCCAAGCACGCCAGGCTACGCTGGCCGGAGTCACTCCCGCTGCCACGCCTGATCGATCGTCCTCCAGGATGGCGCTGCGTGGTCGCAAGCCCAAGTCAACACTCCCCATTGATGAGGAAGAGCTGAAGACGAATCGGCGCAGAACCGTCGCCACCACAACAGTGGCCACGCCGGTGAAGGTAGGCGTCTACTCCTTGCCCTCAGTATCATAAGGCTCGATATCAGATGCTAACTCTCCCTCCAGGGGACACATCGTGATCCTAAGGCTCTCCCGGCCGCCCCCCAATCCGCTAGACGCAGCACTAGGAGAATGAGCGGGGCCTCTACTATGCCGGTTACTAGTCCGACAGACGAACTGCCACCTTTGCCTAGCAACAATAGAGACTTTCTTCAGGAACAGCAGCAGCCGGCGGCGGAAGCGCCTGCGCAGACACCTGTGCAGACACCTGTGCAAGGCCCTGACCCATTGCCGATGAAGAAGACGAGAACGCCGACGTCAACACGCAAGGAGCCAGCAGCCAAGAGTGCACGCGCAGCAAAGAAGACGACGACACCCATTGGTGAAAGGGACAGCAAGCCATCGGATCAGCGGGCTTCCACGACTTTGGAGAATACGAGCGAAGACATGGACAGCATCACTAGCGGTATGAAGAAGATCAAGATCAACCTCATCACCCAGTCGCAACGGGAGGCCAGGGAGCGTTCCAAGGCGGCGGCGGCGGCGGCTGCGGCGGCGGCGGCCGGACAAGCCGCCCCAGCGACAGGCCGATCGAGCAGCGCACGCTCTGGACGGTCAACGCCTCTTGCATCGCCGACGCCAGAGCTGCAGAGCACAGTTGCCTCCCTCGGAGATGGCACATCCGACCCATTGACCCCCGGCGGAGATGGCAACCTGCCAACTCCGTCAATCGCCGACAGGATATCAGCGTGGACGACGCCGGACTCAGAGCCGCCTTCCAAGATGAAAGAAGAGGTGGACTTTGAGTCCATCGACAAGGGTGCGCCCGCAACTGCCCTTCCTTCCCCCGGTCCTCGGCGCACCGGCACGCCCACGCCGTCTATCTATGTACCCCGTGTATCGGTTCAGCCCAGCAGCAGCGACACGCAATCCCCCATCGATCCCCCAGACCTCTTCATCCCCTACCAGCCAGAGGGGCCGCCTCCCGCGGCGGTGGCTCCCTCGTCCGAACCCCTAAAGTGGCTGCCTCCCAACATGACGGACCCATCTGCTGCCAACACGCCCATGCCATCGCCTAGTCCTGTCAAGGCCAAGAGGCAAGAAAGCCATAACCTGTTTCACTACACGCCCGGGAGTATTCCCTTTGCTCCTCGTCCGAAGGAGCCTACCAATACAGACATGTCTCCGCAGTAGAGGCTGTTGAAGTTTGAATGCTTTATGCTTGTTTCCTTCTCTTGTTGCTACGTCCAGTATTGCCCTCTTCCTTTTCTTTTCTTCTCTTTTTTTCTTTGAAGGGTTGGACCTGGTTTCTTTTCCCCTTTCGTCGGTGTTTTCTCTACAGTTTTCTCTACAGTTTTCTCTCCTATATTGGGGGATAAGCGACGTGTGGCTCGGTCGGATCTGCTGACTGCCGAAATAAATGATACCCTATGATTCCCTTGGCCCCCCTTGGAGCAATACTGTCGGCGTCGGTCTGTTTGAGTGTTTGTGCAGCATCACTTTTTTTCCTTTTTTCCTTCTGTCCCCCCCCCCCCCTTCCATTTTCTAGCTAGCAGGTTCTGTTACAAGAGATAAAAACAAAAATTACCAGTATTGTTTATGTGTGTACCGTGGACAATCAAGGAAAGGATTTCCTGAATTCGGAAATGGGAACGGCTGTATCCTTGAGGGTAGCACATCCTTCAGGGGATGCTGATGGCTTGCGTTGGAATGTCCATAGCTTGGTGACACCCAGGCTCTCAAGATATGTCAGGGCGCGAGAGTAGTTTGTTGCGATGTGGTCTTTGCCGTGGCTGTCGTCGGACATTGTGAATTTGCCATCCATGCTGACCCATAGCTGCATTTCTCAACATCAGTGGATGAAGGGAGAGATTGAAGAAAATAACCCGATTTTGATTTTCAAACAAAACACGCACCTCGGCAATTGGACGAGAAGGATAAGGCTCAGCGAGACCCTTTCTCAACGCAGCGCTATTACACTCCAGCCAACCACCCTGGCTCTTGATGAGGTTGAGATTCCTGACAATCTTGGACCAGACGCCGTCCCAACCCCGGACGTCCCTGGCGGGGTCCTGGCTGAGCAGACGGATGAGGTCGAAGTGGCCGACGACACGGGGTCTCAGGGCAGTCAACATGTCGTACTGCAGATCGTAGTAGTCGGAATAGAGGCCCTCCTCGGACCCTCCACCCGATGCGTCGAGGGCGGCAGCGTAGGTGACGGCATCGTAGTCTATGGGGAACCCGTGGACGTGGTGCACCGACCCGATGAAGTAGTCTATGCAGTGGGATCCCGAGGCGACGAGGGACAGGACGTGGTCCTTGAAAGAGGGCCGGATGAACTCTGCCTCGAAGCCGATGAGGATGTTGATCTGGGATGAATAGTGCGATTGAAGCCTCTGGGCCTCGATGAGGTACGATTCGTGACGGGACGAGAGGGCTGATAGGGCGTCGGGTTCGTCGTGCTGTTACGTTTTTGTTGTTGTTTTTTTTTTTTTTTTTTTTTCTTGTCAGAGTTTAGGCTCCTTCCAAGAGGGGGAAATTGATTATTGATGAGATGGGAGGATACTGATGTTTTATACCTCTTCGGGATAGAGATCTCTCTCTTCATATCGTGGCATGTGCTCGGTTAGTCCCATGGTTTTGAAACCAGCGGATATAGCATGCTGGATTATATCTTCTAGCTGATCCTTTGCGTGGCCAGGGCAGAATTGGCCCGAGTGAGAGTGCATTGTGAAGGCCATGATTTTTCTGTCCCATGAACGTCTTCTCATTCACGAGAGGCGTTCTGGAGGGGGGGGGGGGATGGTGCGGTTGATGTAGTAGACCTTGAGGATTCTCGACGTCGATGAGAAACTCAAGATGAGGGGTAGTTCTTCTTTCTCCGCCCCTCATTTTGTTACCCTACAGCTGGCTAGGACTTGGTCAATTCAAGTGGATATTTTACAGGATCATACCGAGTATTATGAGAGACTTTTTATTTGCTTACTATTCAAAATATATCATGATACCTTTTGAGAGTTCCCACAAAGGAAATTGAGATGCATCTTCATCGATAAATATCATGTTGACTTCCTTTGAAGACTAGAGGTAGATGCGAACCTTGGATGGTATGGATACACCCACCACACACCCTTAACTACAAGTAAACCACGTTCCACGCTGACCGTCTGGTGTAGAAAAATTCCGTCTTCTCACATCTCTTCCGAGGAAGGCAGCTCTGTCGCGTAAGGAGCTCTGCATCGACTCATCGGCCGAGTCCGGCACGGTTATCATGACCACGCCTTTCCCCTCCGCTTCCAGCATGGCACGGACATGGTCTAGAGAAGACTCCGGACATACCGTGACATCATCGGCCACCATGCCCATCAAGGGGTAGCCATCGTCCAGAGGGTAATAATTGAACAGAAGCATCGGGTCCACTGCCAGGCGTCTGCCGAGGGCCGACTCGAGAAAGGGCGCGAGGTTTCCGGCAACGCACGCCTCGTGGAGACTTATCTCGTCCTGCCCCTGGTCAAAGTACGTACGGTACAGCCGTCTGAGCTGCATTCGTTGTCGCGCATCCTCGCAGTTCATGAATCCGTAGTCGACCTGCACGGCGCGGAACGGATGAGCCGCGTCCGTGTATACGAACCGCTTCAGCTCCCATACGCTCTGGTACCATCTCCGCACCACGGCCATCAAGCCCCGAAAGTGGCGCATGTGCAGTATTGGATCCGCGAGCCCGTACTTTTCAAACAGCTGCACCATGCGGGACTCCGCCATGGCCTTCCAGAACTCGTCGAATGTGCACCTCGAGACGAGAAGTGCATATGCTCGAGCAAGTAGCTGTTCGGACGCGTCATCGGCAGCCGTGCAGAACCCGAGAGAGATCCAGTTGTCTTCGTCCGCACCTGGCTTGTACCCGTTGCGGATCTGGGAATAGAAGAGGACTGCCCGGCGCTTCTCCCGAGGCTGAACGTGCATGAAGGGTACCGCCCTGTCGTCGGGGCTCAGAAGCTCCCATACGGCTCGTCTCAGGAGGTAGTCGACGCCTTGACCTTGGCCGTTGGCTCTGAACCCCTCCTCGTTTTCCAGCCACCGCACGTCGTGCACCATGCCGGTCCCGCGGCACCGAGACACGAGTAATTCCTTGAGCCTGTCTTGTTCCATCGCCCTGCGCAGGTCATCCTCGTCGACGACCGAATGGACTACAAGCCCCTGGTAAATATCAAAGAGTCTCTGCTTATCGTGTGCCGAGGCAAAACACTCGAAGCCGTACTGTTGCAAAACCTCGTTTTCCTGGGGAAACTCGACGTCGTGGCAGGAAAGGATCAGGTAGTCCGTTGCATCTATTGGCCTGCCCAAGCTGCACCTGAACTTGTGCCGGTGCCGGTCGGATTGATAGCAGTCGATGTCGCAGTAGGTGGCCGCCTCGCACTTTTGACACGTGTAGGTGAGCTTGTAGGTTTCCTTGCAGAAGGCGCAAGCTGTTGGACCCCCGGATTCGATCTTCCTGCATTCACCTCCGGCATCTTCGGTATTCTCTACTGTCGACGCCGCCTCATCGCTGCCCTGGGTGGTGGAGAGACTATGTCCGGATCTAAGATATCCTGTTAATACGCAGAGCCAGGTCTAGGCACGGATAGCAAGCAGACCCGATGACCTACACCTCTTCTCTGTGGCGCCTGCGAATCCTGGCGAGCCACTCTGCCTCCCTCTCGGCGTTTCCGGGGCTCCCGGAGGCGATGTTGTAAAGCGTCTCGCTGTGTTCGTACCTGGGTGGAAGCTGAGCTGCCATGACCGATTCTTTTTCTGCATCCCTGCGAGGAGCTTCGATTTTCAGCCCCTCCTCCCGAAGAGCACTTCCCAGACGACTTGCAGCCGTGCGGAGCCTGTCATCGGTTCCTAGTCTGGACCACAGTGCTGGCGGAAGCGTCCATTGAGAGTAGCATTTCCCGTGATTTCCTCGACTTTCGAACCGTCCCATCTCCCGTAAAATGTGTCCGCACAGGAGACAAGTCTTTTTGCTTACTCCTAGATAGGGGAACGAGGTCCCTGGGGTGGATCTCCCAGAACCAAGAAGATAGGCCATCAGCACCATCTCTGCGTGTATATTCTTAGGCCTCCTAACTCTGTCGTCAAACTTCTTTCTCAAGCGCTGGGCTATGTCGATACCTGCGAACCCCAGAGTCGGTTCATCCAAGGATTTCCATGCCTTGACTTTCCTTGCCGGGAGGCTTTTGATCAGCAGGACCCTGGTGTGCCGAAACCCGCTGTATTCTCGAGCAACTTTGACGGCCACGTCGAGGCTGCTTGCTGGCCTTTTGATGAATTCCAGCTCTTCCCGGACACGGCGAAGCTTGTTGGGCACCAGGCTGGCCTCCAATTTGGTATTGAACCGGTCGTGATGAGACACACGATCGACCATCTTGGCAAAGGCAAAAGCATCGATTTCCCCCGAAATGAACCTACCACAGCAGCCGTCTCCCCTGAAGAATTCTATCCCGGTCGTCCCATTTTCGACGGATACCATGGATTTGACGTGATGGCGGATTCTCGGATCGTAATATTCCACTGAGGTCCTGTACAATTTGGAAATCATGGCTGAATCCAACTTGTCTACCGTATAGATCAGTATGATAACATGTCCAGAAAGTTACGGGGTTCCTTTCAAGAGAAAAAGGGCAAGAGGAAAAAAAAAGGATAGACGAACCCGGATCAGAGGAGGATATCTCGAGGACTTGGGCGAAGCATTCAAGAATCTTGGTATCCTTATCGGACCAAGTCGGCACGTGCGAATATGAGTTTCGAGCAGCTACGATAGTCGCCTCTTCATCATTGTGAACTATTGCCGTGCTCGTAATCAATGTAGGGTCCTTCTTGTAGCAGAGAAGCTCCGCCAGTCGGTCGAGGAAGCTCTTCAAACTTCTGGCCCCGTTGCTATCGTCGGATAGCGTATTGTGGCGATCTGTGCACCCATCTCTTGAATCTCCCTCCAGGTCGTCGTCTCCACGGTCCTCGTCGGTGCAAGGAGCAAGAGGCTCCCTCTGTTGCTGTTTGACCTCGCACCATGTAGCCAGTGTGGTTATCTCCGACTCGAGCCTCTCCGCTTCCCGGGCAGTGGGAACGTGCCCCTCCAAGGTCTCGCTGGAGCCTGGTGGTGATAATTCAACGATGCTTACGCGGGACATCACGATCGATCTCGAGGTGTTACCGCGCAAGAAGCTCTCAGGTAGCTGTCTCTTCGATCCCAACAGAAGATTTTGGAAGAGAGAATAGGCCCCGACGGATCTCGGCTGCCTGTCGCAGAATAAAAGAGATTCCTTGGGTGGTGCAGACAGATGATGTGTGTGCGAGACGTGCGGGGTCAGGAATCATGTGTTTCTCTAACACTTCCCGCATAGCGATGGTAATAGCACAATCAGCTGAACACCCCAATGCATATAAGCGTGTTCTGCGTGCATGTATGCGTGCATGTCTGCGTGCGTGTACTGGATGCGCGATGGTGTTGGTGGTGTGCGGCGCGTCTGGATACGTATGCAGGTGGGCGTTGATGCCTGGTACCATTATAGTCTCCCTCTTCCTTCGTTCCGGGGACAATAACAGACGAACTACTCAGTTTTCAAGGCCTTTTCATGTTGAAACTGTCAGATCTGGGGCGTAGCTGAGCTCCGTATAGATCAATGTCGATATATGCCAACGGAGAGGATATGTAGTGTCGTGACAAGAAATGGAGTATTGCACCTCCCCCCCCCTCCCCCCCTCCTTTTCCAGATCTTATCAAGGACACCCTTGGTTAGAACGACCGATGTCGATATTTACAGCGAACATCGGTGGGTTTCCGATCTAGCTTTTTGGAAATATGTAATACCGACAAGACCTTGACTAGGCACTTTGGCTTGCCCGGGAGTCTAAAACCTTGTCCGATGTCATCTGTTGAGCACGCAAGTCGCGGATTAGCTAGATAAGTTGCTGTATTACCTGGTACATCTAACCGATCGTCCATATGATGCTGGGATGATGGGCATAGGATATATATATATATATATACGTATACATGTAGGGACGTGTTTACAGATAGGCCTTCAAGTGCAATAGTCTTTAGAGGCAGGTGAACCGTCGACACTGTGTTGCGTTTAACAGTCTCGGCATGTTTTTGTCTGTCCGAACCATTCAGAATCCGCGGATGAGAGAGGCGGCTGTCGTCTTTCTGATGATATGCAACTCCATGCTGAAGATATCGCGCTCCGAAACTAGACGCTGACTACTCCGTATCCATGTCCGTATTCTCTCGTATATAGATTTGTCTATCCATCTTCCTCTCATCCCACCTTTCCTATAGAAGGAAAAAGAGAAACGGTGCGTAAGAGGATATGCGCGTACTGGGTGGAGATTGAGGCCTTTACGACCCGCCCCAACGAACATGTACGGGTAACATGAGAATCCGGAGCCCCGCGTTTCCCCTTTGTAAACGCCCGATCATGCGAGGAGAAGAGAGGGTGGTCGGGAACCAGTGGCTGGTCTAGTTAGCCAGATCGTTATGCAACAGAAGAATTCTAGAATCGCCATCAGCTAGAGCGGGATATAAGTCGCCTTCGTCGCAGTCATCCTTAGCTGCGTATGATACTACATGAAGACCTACATGCGCCTACAGGTACATCGGTATAAGAGCGGGGATGAAGAGATGGACAACAAAGCATGACCGTACACGGATAAGGGGATGTACGGAGTAGAGTTAATAATGATCTTAAAATCCCTCTGCACTGGAGGTCTGCATTTCCTTCTTGTCTAGTAATATAGCGCCAACTTCTATCTCTAAGGGGTTCCGTACGTTGAGACGTCTGTGCACGGAAGCAAGCAATGCAACATGCATGTATCATTGGCCCTAAGAAGATAGTCCCAGACGCCTAGGATGACTATATTCTGATATGAATGTGTATCAGGTACGAGGAAACACCATGACTGAATCTACTATGTGACTGTACCGAGTACCGAGTACCGAGTAACCCCTTGTCAACATCCTATCGCTGTCTAACTAGATAATGGGCCCACGAAGAGAGGGTGCATATTCTTATCTGACCTTGCCGATCAGGCGATTGGGAAAGCTGGCCACGTCCCACCATGTCCAATAGGAGAATAAGGTGTTTATCTAAGTCGTGTAGATAGCCAATATCCCTCTGACCATCCCGTACGTCTATCTGGAAAACTGGGCAGCCCACGCAACTGCACTGCCCAGTTTACGTCCTAGCTTCAATAACTCCAAGGTTGAGGCAGGGATCTTCCAAGGAAACTGCCTAGTACTCCGTATACAGAGCGTTATTACGACTGGAAATGGGGTGGTGCCAAGAGGGAGGTTATGCGTCTATTGTATCTTAGATATGTGGATATGATACCACCTTTTGATCGAGCGAGTTCAGAGGAAATCGCTCCTTATCTACGGTGTCTTCGCTCTCTCAGCTCTCTCAGCTCTCCCAGTCCTTCCCGTGTTGAAAACCAACCAAGACGCCGCAACAGCTGGCCTCGCCAATTGAGCTACCGAGATCTCATCCCTACACCTGGAAACCGCCAGCATGATGGAGGAAAAGAAGAATAGCACACACGATGTCGACGGGGCTTCGACATACGTCCCGGGGGAGGCCGAACTCTTCACCGTGCCACGGACGGGGGGGACGGTCCGCGGCATCAAGAGCAGACACGCGCAGATGATTGCCATCGGCGGCACCATCGGCACCGGCCTCTTCGTCGGCTCCGGCCAGGCCCTGGCGGCTGCAGGTCCGGCCTTCCTCCTGACGGCCTACATCCTGATGAGCGGCGTCGTGTACGGCGTCGTCACCGCCCTCATGGAGGTCAGCACTTTCTTCCCCGTCACCGGCGCCTCGACGGCGTACTTCGCCTCGCGGTACGTGTCGCGGTCCCTGGGGTTCGCCATGGGCTGGCTGTACTTCTACAGCTTCGGCATCCTCGTCGCCTACGAGATCACGGCGGCCGCCATCGTCATCGACTACTGGCCCAACGACGTGCACGTCGCCGTGTGGCTGACCATCATGATCGTCGTCATAGTCGCCCTCAACTTCGGACCCGTCAGGATCTATGCCGAGACGGAATTCTGGTTCGCCTCGGCAAAGGTCATCATGATCATCGGCCTGTTGATCCTGTCGTTTATCCTGTTCTGGGGCGGCGGGCCGTCGCGCGACAGGCTCGGTTTCCGCTACTGGGAGGATGGCAGGGCGGCCAAGGCCTATATCGGGTCCGGCGCCGGCGGCCGCTTCACCGCCTTTCTCTGGTCGTGGTCCTACTCTGCCTTCTCCTTCTTCTTCGGTCCCGAGCTCATCGTCTTCACATCGGGCGAGATGGAGAACCCGAGGAAGAACCTCCCGATCGCCTCGCGCCGGTTCGCCTACCGACTCTTCGTCTTCTATATACTCGGCGCCCTTGCCATCGGCGTCATCTGCTCCTCAGATGACTCTCGTCTGGTCTCCTCGTCGGGGAACGTCAACGCTTCACCCTGGGTCATCGCCATCAAGAACGCCAGCATCCCTTCCCTCGACAGCATCATAAACGCTGGCGTCCTCCTCTCGGCGTGGTCGTCTGGAAATGCCTTCTTGTACATGTCTGCGCGATCGCTGTACTCTCTGGCCGTGGCTGGGGATGCGCCCAGTATATTTGCTAGGTGCAACCGATACGGTCTGCCCGTGTACGCCGTCTGTGCGAGCAGCCTCTTCCCGCTCCTGGCATATATCAACTGCTCTTCCAGCGGAGGCTCCGTCTTCAATTGGTTCGTCAACCTGACAAACACGGCCGGCTTTACGTCCTGGATCTGCTGCATCGTCGTCTTCTTCCGCTTTAGAAAGGCTTGTGACGTGCAGGGTGTTTCGTCGCCGTACCGCTCCAGGATCCAGCCTTACGCCGGCTGGATCTCACTCTTCTTCGTCACCATCTTACTCCTTGCCAATGGATTCACCGTCTTCTTCCCCGGGAGATTCGATGCTGCCGACTTCTTGACCTCTTATATCGGCATCGTCGCGTTCCTGGTCTTGTACGTTGGCCGCAGGATTTCCCTGTGGGATGAGCCGTGGGCGTACGCCCCTTCTGATGTCGATCTTCATACTGGCCTCGCAGAAGTCGAGGCCGATGCTCTGCGCTGGGAGGAGGCGGAAAGTTCTCGGGAACTGGGCAGCAACAAGTGGTGGGAGAAAATTTCCATTCTCTGGAAGTGAGCGATGGGAAAGCTACATGTATGTGGATAGTATTACTTTAAGAATCCAGGGCTACCCAAGTTGGCTGTTCTCCCGACTTGCATGAACCATGTCCATTCATCCATCATCTTCCTGGTGTACGACTGTTCTCTCTCGTCGGTTCTCTCTCATGTCTGCTTTCGTGCTCTCACTTGGAGAGGAACTTCTCAAACTGTCTAGAAAAATCCAAAACCGTTTGGCGGAATGGTATGTGACTTCCAATCGGCATGTCCCGGTCAATCGGCTCATGATCAACCTCGACATGAGGCTTGACGCCTTGCTCTCCCGTAGCGATCTTCCCTCTTAGCTGGGGGTACTCTTGCTGCAGATACTCTGACGCCATCTGATAAGTGAACGGTTCTTTCGACACGGGGATGTACCGTCTCCCTCCTGCCGCCGGCGTTTTCAGAGCCTGGACATGGATTTCGGCCAAGTCTCGGACATCTATCCAGAAGTTGAATCGACAGGGAGGTAGTTCATCAGTCGCAACTGATGATAGGACCTTCCATAGCATCTTGTTGGACTCATTGAGATCTGTCACAGAGCTCGGCGGGGTCGCCAACGGGCCAAACACCATGGAAGGGCACAGTGTTACGAGGTCAAAGGAGGGCGATTCGGTTTCCATAAACTTCCATGCTTCCTGCTCTGCAAACGTCTTTGAGCCGCGGTATGCATCTTGGGGCGTGGTGCCTGGGGCTGTCGCCTCTTTGTACGTGATCGGGTTCCAGTCGGCGGCGCTGTACCTCCAAGGCTGTCCCTCTGGTCGGCCCATGTCGAGGATGGCACCGAAGGAGGATGTCATGACGATGCGCCGCACCTTGGATCCCAGGCTTGCCTTCAGAATAGACCGCACGCCCTTGATTGCGGGAATGATGAGGCCTTCCTCATTATCGTCGCAGCTGTAGTTGAGAGGCTGTGCATGACATCAGGTGTGAGCATTATTGAGCCCATCAAGTTGGAAACGATCACTCGACAGGTCGACGTACGCTGGCCACATGAATGACGGATGACACACCATCAACGGCCGCGTCGAAAGCGCCGGCATCTGTAAGATCTCTGACGAAAGCAAAGTCGATCTGGCTGCTACGACCGGGTCTGCTGGCCAAGAATGCGTTGGCCTTGGCTTGCGACCGAATGGCCATGCGCACCCTGCAGCCCCTGTTCAAGAGGTTGTCGACTACATGGGACCCTATGAGGCCTGTACCACCGGTAACCAGGACGTAGTCGCTGGGTCTTGATTAGACTCGTTCGTATGGTTCTGGGTGTGATGAGGAGGCTTACGAGTTCTCCATGGTTAGTTTAGCAAGTCGTGAATGCGGTGATGGTCCTCAATGGTAAACACTCTTTCGGATTTCTCGGGAAAGGTTGATTGAGACTTGGTACGTAGTCGATAGTCAACGTTACCGATTGAAGCAGAGCGGGATGTCTGGAGGTGCCATTGGCAAGAGACACATGGGGGAGGGACATGATGCCGTTGATAGGTAGAGATGTGTGAGGAGCTCCTCATGTTATCGGCGGTGCTCCACGTACACATATGCGGGCTCGGCGTTGCCTGATATGTCGACCATGACATGCATTCAGCCAATGACCGTCGACCAGGATATATCACCTTTGCTTCCATAACTTGGGTCCGAAAGTATCGCTCTTCTTTACTTCCTAGGACTCACACATACCATTGCCCTTCCAGTCTCACTGTCCTCATCCGTTTCGTCTGTCGGCTTGAAACAACTAGACTGTTCTTCTTCATCACCACTACGGAAAATGTCTGCCGGGAAGCTTTACACGTACCCCAAAGCCCCTCGGTCTACCATGGTGGTCTTCGTGGCCAAGTACAACAAGCTCGATGTGGAAATCTGCAACGTCTTCCCCATCAAGGTGTACCCGGAGAAGGGAGGAGTAGGCGAGGAGTACCTGTCCAAGTTCCATACGGGCAAGGTGCCCGCCTTTGAGACCTCGGACGGTTTCTGCGTTTATGAGAGCAACGCTGTTGCCTGGTATCGTGAGTGCATACGTACCTGTCCAGCTTTGAACTCGAGCACTGCGCGGAAACTATGTCTGACTTCGTGGTTCCGGCATCAAGTGGCTAAGCAGGACCCCAACACCAAGCTGTGTGGTTCCAACATTCGGGAGGAGACCACTGTCTTGCGTTGGGCTTCCTTCACCAACTATGAGCTACTACCTCCGATCATGGCTTGGATACAGCCTGTCATCGGCAGGGCTCCTTCAAGCCCTGAGATCCTAGCCAGGGCAGAAGAGAGCTGCGAACTCACTGTCCGTGCCATCGAGAAGGAAATAAAGGACAAGGAGTTTCTTGTGGGTGGCACCCTCACCCTCGCTGACCTGTTTGTTGTTTCCGGTCTGGCGAGAGGCTATCAATATGTGAGTTATATATCACCACGTCGAAGCTTGCTCGAATCCTGATACCTCAGCTCTGCGTACTAACCGTAGAATAACAAACAGGTGTTTACAAAGTCTTGGGCGGAGAAGCACCCGATTGTGCACGAGTACTACATGCGTATCCGTAATGACAAGGACGGCATCTTTGATAGCATTCTCGGACCGTGTGCCATTCGGGATGAGCCCGGAGGCACATACCCTGACTACGATGGCCTTAACTGATGGGTATCATGTAGATAGAATTCAGTTCTATCACTGGCATGGTCAGAGTTGAACTTCGAGTACATAGTAATAATCATACAGTAAGCTCAACGTTTGGCACATATACATACACATACTTTCTCGAGCGTTCATTCAGCATATTTCATAGTCAAGAGACCAAAATATATACCGACCATTATTTTCATCTACTGTAGGGAAAACTGGTTCTTTATATATATATATATATCACCATAGGCATTCAGTACGCAGGTTGAAGGTATGTCCAATCTTCAGCTAACAAACAGGCAAAGAAATAGTTTTTTTTTCTATCTGTTCATCTTGAGATAATACATAGAATGGAAGAGGCTTAGACCCGATGTTCTAGTTAATCCTCCCCGTGAAATGTCTCAGTGAAGACTGCAGCGATCCAAGTTGCTAGGGGCCAGTGATTCCTGCGTGTAAGTGCATCTTCTATGCGCTCGAGATAGTGTCTCTCTGAGTCCTTCAACATCTCAGAACTCCTGGGGGAACTTTCCGAGAGCCGCTCATCACCTGTTACATCCTCCAACCTCCCGTCATTTTCGGGGTCCAGAGCCGTCAGTATGTCATACATCATGGAGCGACCGAATGCCGTGTAGACGCTGGGCAGGATGGTGCTCCTCTGGCCTCTCAGACTGTCCTGGATACCTATGGTGATGAGGCGCACTATTCGCCATCCCATGAGGCATGACTTGAACGCGATGACGGTTGTGAAGGGGTCCTCAGAGCCTGTGCACTCAGGCCCGACTGATGCTCCCAGGGCCGGCCTCGTGAGCAGATCGAGTATCCGGGCGAGATGAGTGGCCACGCGCACCACGTCACGATCTTCGTAGACATCCCGGTATTTCTTCGCCCTTGGTCTGCCCAACTCCCACGCCGTCGATATCGCAGTCGGGAGACTGTACTCGACTATTCCGCTCGTGAGCAGGCCGTCCTGATGGGTGAGGCAGAGCGCCGTGTAGTGCCAGGCAACCCACACGTGGTTCCACAGGGAATTATCAGGAGACTGAGGGTCTCCGATGGCCTTCTGCGAGCATACGCGGGGCATGAGATCGGCCAGGGCCTCGAGGGCCTGCATGACCTGGGCGCGATCGGATTCTGAGATGATGGACAGCGCGTGGTTGGGATCGTCGGCCCGGATGTTCCTATAGAGAAAGGTGCTTCCGAGAGTCAGGTCGCGAACCATCATCTGGAGTTGGACGATGAGCATCAAGCTTGCAAACGACGAGTGCCAGAGCAGGCCGAGGGGTGGCGCCTGCGGCCTTGGGTTCATCAGATGCATAAGGCTGCTATAGAGATCACCGTGTGGCGGTCTTGGCTCCCCGTTTGCGTCGTCGTCATCCTCTTCATTAAAGGACCCATCCTGGTCGATAGCCAGCATCTTCCAAGCTTCGGCAGTGGGTGCCGACCAGACATCGTCACGGCAGGGGAGATCAAACTTGACTTCCAAGGCTGCAAGGTGCGGACGCAGATTGAAGCACATGGACAGTTGCGAGTCCAGATAATAAAGAGAGTACATGACTCTGAATGATACGAAAAGGTGCAGTGTCTTGTCAGCTAGCCGGTGTTTCCGCCAACATCTGTCTTCCGGTACTGAAGGGTGCACACGTACCGTTTCCTAGACTCGCTTCGGATAGCCAGATGCCAGTCTCGGCCTAGCGAGGATCCATGGGCGGCGGTACTGTCAGCTGGCGAGCTCAAGCCTTGGCCTGCTGTTCCGGACATGACACCATCCTGTAAGAGCTGATACTGCCGAGCTACGTCGACAAGCTTGCGGTGTATCTCGAGTGCAGTGTTGAAGAGGCTGTCCTCGCAGCTGTATATGGCGAAGTACTCAAAAAGCAAATACGCCTGCAGTACCCACGTCTCTTGGATGCCTACGCGCGGATGATTGTTTACCTGAGATCGTGGGTGCAAACGCATCGACAGTCAGCAAGTGTCGAAAATCTCACGGGTCATGTCCGGAGAGGAAGGGGATCAGCACATAGATATCAAGGGACTTCAACCCGGACTCGAGAAGGGCGCGGCTAATGTCGCAGTAGTCCTCTCCAGAGGTGTATACGGCGCCGACACAAGCGACAGCCTGGAGAAGCGGCTGCTGTGCCGTCGCCGCGATAAAAGTCGGTTGATGAATAACCGGGAAGACTTTCTGGAACTTTTCGAAATATGCCGATAGAAACTGCGGCAGCTTGAAAACCCACGAAATATTGTGAACAGAGAATATATCTTCCGAGTCTGTCGTCACAGCAGACCTCGGTCGCATGTTTACATCGCCATCGGACGAGTTGAAGTTACTGCTGGGAGGTAGACGGGGGCCAAGAGAGACGGGAATCGACGGTCCCAGAAGTGTTGGATCGGATGCGAGCCGTTGCGACGACGCTGCATTGTCCGACCCCGGATAGCTCTCCGTTGGATGGCATTTCCGAACATGGCGTTTTCTCAGGTCACTATGAGCCGGAAATCAGGAATAAGCCCACGTCCGTGCACAACTCCATCACAGCAAGGGTCCGCCGGGGGCATCGCACAAACCTTCGAGTAAAGCTCACGTTGCACTGCGGGCAAGGAAACGGTCTCGTATTGGATTGGCGATGCACTGGAGTTTGTATGATGGCACTTTGATGTCAGCCATCCACACATACGTGTATGGTGAGTTTCGAGGAATGTCATCTTCTCCAACCTGAGGACGTATGCCTAGTGAGGTTTTCCTGGAGTCAATCGTCAGCGAAGGTTCAATATTTGTCGTGAACTGTGGGCTTCAATCTTTACTTGTCTCGTGAAACGCGATGTGCAAGCAGGGCATGCGAATGGCTTCGCGGCTTCGTCGATCTGTGAGACTTCCATGGTTGGCCTCTACCTGGCTCTCAAACGGGTGAGTAAAGAACCGAGTGCGGAGCAGGTGAAGGGGGAAGAGGAGCACCTTTGAGTCCCTCAATTCTTGATAACGATGAACCGTCAATCGAGGCTCCGCGAGTGGCGCGCCGCCATGGGTGAGGAGCGTGTGCACATGCAGCATCCCAGATAACAAGCAGTCTCCACCCCCCCCCCCCCCCCCTCCCTCCCCAACACAACACACTACACCCAGAATATCCTGGCCAATGTAAGCGTGGGGCGCATGCTTGTTGTTTTTGTTGTTGTTGTTGTTGTTGCTCAAGCTAGGCGACGAGGTGGGTGATGTGTGTGTGCGTGATGACCTTGGGGGTTATAGTCGATTCCTGCCCGACGTCCTTTTCACTTGGGGATATATAACAATGCTCGGTTGATCAGATAAGAATCAGAGCCATTCATTCTCTGAATGCCCAATTCAATGTAAACTCCAGTCACTTGAACACACCACCGCAAGCAACCGATCATGTCTCTGCCGCCTTATACGCCCGCCGCTCCAAGCAAAGAGCCATGTAAGTTGGACGAATGCTATTGGGAACCCGGATGTGCGTCGAGACTGACATGTGACTATGCACGCTCAGTGGATTATGTCCAGCTCGTAAATCTGGATCTGTCCAAGTACGAAACCCCAGAGGGCCGCAAAGGGCTGGCCGCACAACTGTACGAAGCTGCCACCGGCTATGGTTTCCTGACGCTCACCAACCATGGCATCTCCGACGAGGTCTACCAGCGTCAGATGCAGATTTCGAATGCAGTCATGACTCTCCCTCCGGAGGAGAAGAAGCCGTATGAGGGCACGTCCATCTTGTTCAGAGTACACACCGTTCGCAGTCCCTTGGACTGCCTACAAACCGGCCACATACAGCTAACGCATATATGTCTAAGATTCGCAGTCACCCCCCAGGAGGACGCGCGAGGACTCTACGTCGGGTTCAAGCCATCCGGCCCCCTCGGCCACAAGGGCGGTTTCCCCAAGCAGCTCGACCACTACAACATCCTCGTGCACGACCCGAAGCAGCGTCCTCACCCGGAGATCATACGCCCGTACCTGGAGGAGACGCACGAGGTGATGCACTTCATCAGGAACAATATCCTGAAGAAGCTCCTCGCGCTCATGGCCATGGTCCTGGAGGTTCCCGAGTCGGACATCCAGGCCACCCATGCCCTGGGTGGCTCCAAGACCGAGTACATCCGCTACATGGTGTGCGAGCCGCGTCCCAGGGAGGAGAGCGAGAAGTACCGCGACATCTTCCTGTCCGGCCATACCGACTGGGGGTCCTGGACCTTCCTCTTCTCCCAGCCCATCGCCGCGCTCCAGGTCCTCGACCACCACGACGGCAAGTACCGCTGGGTCCGGCACCAGCCCAACGGCCTGGTCATCAACTTTGGCGAGGCCCTGGAGCGCCTCACCGGCGGCCTGTTCAAGGCCACCATCCACCGCGTTGTCCAGCCGCCCGTGGACCAGCGCCACCTCCGCCGCATCGGAGTCATCTACTTTGCCCGTCCGGCTGACGACTGCGAGCTGAAGCCTCTGGAGAGCTCCCCACTCCTGCGCCGCCTAGGGCGCGACAAGCCCATAGACGACCGCATCTTCTGCATGGCCGACTACCTGGATGCCCGCAAGCATGGCTGGAAGCGCTACGAGTACGACATCGATCGCCCCGCCGACCCTGTCAAGCATGCCGACTTCTTCGCTGGGGAGTACACGGACCCTGCCGGTCACAAGAGTCTCGGAAAGTTTGATGACAAGCCCCGCGAGGTTTACGTTCCAACTCTCAAGGCCTAGTTCATCCTTGGTCTGCCTTGGCATGAACGGTATTCACTCTAGTCATCTCATATATAGTCTATAGTTCAATATCGGGATTGTTTCTCCGTCGGTGCTAAAGCTGTCATATCTCACCCTTTCCCTGTTTCTTATGAAGTTGAGAAGAGTATCGATGCAGCTTAGCTACGAGCTGACTTCCAATACTCCCCCTGTGCGGTATCGTTCGTCAACGCTCAACAACCGTACTTGTTCCGATGATTCTGGACTCATCTCTGCATCTATAAAGCATGCAGTCCACTATTTTCCTTTTCTTATGCTAATAGTCCCCCAGCATCTGGAACTCCTGGCTTTCACTGTTTCCCCCCAACTTGGCATGTCCATGCCGAGATAAGCCAACTCCCTGAGCGGGGAGACCACATATCTGCTCACCCGTATTTCCCTCAACCCAGTAATCTAGTAACACGTTGTAAGATGACTTTTCAAACTGACGGGCTCGTCGGCTGGGTGCACGCGCACACGTAGATATCCGAAGGAGCTTTATTGGGTAGCCATTGTGGGGGGGGGGGGGGGGGGGTGTTCCAAGCCACCTCTTCCACGAATAGACAGGTATCAAGTAGAAGGGGTGTATCATTACATGCATCGAGTCTAATTTAACCCGAGGGGACGAAGAGAGAAGGGGGATGAGGAGCTCCCGCCATGCTATCAAGTTGCCGTGGCCAATCAGTGAGATCCCAATTCCCCCGGTGGTATGGGGTCTAGGGTCGATCGATCCGCTCTCCAGTCAGCTTCGAGATAGTAATCAGGTAGCCATTGATTCGGGACCCAAGAACCCTAGATAGTATCCCAGGCTTGGAGGTGCCGTATAAGTGAATATCGACAAGACAACGGTGTCAGGAAGAAAGCATGTCCCGCGGCCTATTCCCGGTGCGGGGCGCCGCCCACGGTCAGGATGTAAGTGTGGGCGTAGCTATCTCTTGGCTGAATGTGTGTGTTGCGTGTATGTTCGCTCGCAGATAAGGAAACACGAGATATCAGACCGAGTGTTGCTCGTCCAACTAGGATCAAGGAGAGGTTACGGCTACAGCATCGCTAAGTCGATTACACAAATATTGCGGTTAGCCCGTAGCCAGGAACGAATACAGAAAAACTAATATCAACCTTCTTGATCGAAAGACTCTGTGTATCAGCAGGAATCGTTCGCATTGAATATCATCTTTCATCTTTCTTTACTTACACGCATCCAACAAGAAGTGATCAGTTGCATAACTCGACAAGATGGAAGCGCTTGCTCAGCTTCGTGAGCACTTCAAGCCACGAGGCTCCAGACTCGAGCAGAAGCTTGTCTTGAAACTCGACTTCTTTATCCTGACGTTCTGCTGTCTTGCCTACTTTACGTGAGTTTCCGCTGCTACGGCCGACACTGAACGTTTCCAATTGCAATTGGCAAGAAGAAGCGAAGAAAAGAAAACACCATGTTCAATCTTTAAGCCATATATCATGCTGATATGATACAGGAACTACCTCGATCGAGCCAGCATCAGCCAGGCTTATGTATCCGGCATGCGAGATGATTTGGGCTTCGAGGGAGCGCAACTCACCCTAGTCACGACACTGTACGCCGTGGGATACCTGATGTAAGTCGGCGCCCTCCTCTACGGCCTCGATATGCACATCTTCTAACTATCTCTCCCCCTCTCTCTTCCTATCTCCAGTGGAATCGTCCCCAACAACCTGATGCTCACGTACTTCAAACCGCGTCGCTTCTTCCCCACCATGATCACCATCTGGGCGGGACTCACAATGGTCAACGCCGCCGCCCGCAGCCCGAAGGACCTGATGGCGATCCGCTTCTTCCAAGGCTACTTCGAGTCCTGCATCTTCGCAGGGACGCAGTACATCCTGGGATCGTGGTATACCAAACGAGAGCTCGGTCAGCGGACCGGCATCTTCACCGCCAGCGGTCTCGCCGGCGGCATGTTCGGCGGATTCCTCCAAGCCGGCATCTACAAGTCCATGGATGGCCTTCACGGGCTCCCAGGATGGAGATGGCTATTCATCGTAAGCACCGTCAATCTCACCGTCTCGCCTCGGCTACAGGTCCTCGACGTCCCGCTGACACGTCGCTCCTCGATGGTACGAAAAGATCTCCGGCCTGATCACCCTCCCCGTAGCCGCATACGGCTTCTTCTTCTTCCCCGACACCCCGCACACCACCACGGCCTTCTACCTGACCGAGGAGCAGAAGCGGCTAGCTCGCGAGCGCGTCCCCCCCGGCGTAGACTCCGAGCCCATCCTGAGCCTGGCCTTTCTCAGGCGCCTGGGAGGGTCCTGGTTCCTCTACGCCTTCTGCTTCCTCTGGATCCTGGGAAACTGCTCCGAGTCCCTGGGCAACCAGTCCCTGCTGAACCTGTACATGCAGGGCCACCCGGAGCGCGGCTACTCCGTCGTCCAGATGAACAACTGGCCCACGGGCGTGCAGGCCGTCGGCGTCGTCAGCACGCTCGTCTGGGCCGTCGCCACCGACGTCTGGGGCGGCAGGTGGATCTCCGGGTACTACGTGGCCGCCACCTGCATCGGCGCTGCCGTCATGGTCCTCGTGCCCTCGGCCCCGGCCGCCAAGTTCGCCGCCTACTACTGGTCCGGCTCCGTCTACTGCATCCAGTGCACCTTCTTCGCCTGGGCAAACGAGTCCATGCGCTCCCAGCCCCCCGCTCTCAGGTCCTGCGTCATCGCCTGCATGAACGCTGCCGGCAACTGCTTCCAGGCCTGGTGGCCTCTCATCTTCTACCGCGCCGACGACGCTCCAGAGTTCAGGGTATGTACGGCAGTAACGCTAACTCTGATGCGTGCGCAGCAGACGCACAATCGAGATGTATTTGCTGACGGACCGTCAATAGAGGGGAATGTATGCCCTGATTGCCATCGGCGCAACAATGGCAGTCTGGACAACGGCGCTTGTCTGGAACGACCGGCGCATGCAGAAGGAGACGGGGATCATTGACGCCGTCGCTGATGATCATGACGCCCGCGAAGGCCACGGTACCGACAGCATCTCCAAGGTCGACGATCCCAGCAAGGTCTGATGGCTGAGCGGTTTCGAGGCCTTTACAACTCCTAGCCGCTGTGTCTGTGTGTTTGTGCGATGTTGTAGTTCTTTGCTGTGTCTTTCATATTTTATCCATCTTCAGCATGCGATCAAACCACTAGTCAATTCTCTACCAAACAAACCTTGTACACACCATGAGTTGCCAGCATCACCCCCCTTTCCACCTTTTCCACCTTCCCGGACTGACAGACGCCCTTGAGGATGTGTAAGAGGATATAGTACGATACAATCGGACGACGCCGTACCCCTTCTATGAGCAGCTCATCCGAGCTCTCTGCCCGGTCTGGTGGTCTAGTGGTATGATTCTCGCTTAGGGACAGCAACCCCAAGCACGCTTGCGAGAGGTCCCGGGTTCAATCCCCGGCCAGACCCTTTCTTTTTGCCTTTTTTTTGCCATCCTTCCATAGTCGTAGAACTCGTCTACGGCAAGGCAAATGTGGCCTGGAAGAGAAGAGGGAAGTATGTAGCAGGCACAGTCCTGCTTCTTACTGAACCTTGATCATGCTAGCACTTGGTGGTGAGAAGTAGTCCATTCCTTTATTATTCAAACGTCACTGACATCCATTTATAGAAAAGTCGACATCTTCGAAATATTATGGGGAAAGAGAGAAGGAAGAAGAAGGGAAATCGAATACAGATCCCTCCCTCTCTCTTTCTCTCTCTCTCTCTCTCTCTCTCTCTCTCTCTCTCTCTCTCTCTCTCTCTCTTTCCATCCTCTCTTGTGAGTGCGTGTGAACATCATCCAAGCCATATCCATCGGCGCAAAAACCCCAGCTAAACCATCAGCAACACCTTGCGCAGCTTGACCCACCGCGACGCGTCACCGCTACCGCCGCCATCAGCCGGGTACCCTTCCTCCAGGACATTGTGTCTTGACACGATGGACAGGAAAACATCGCTGAGCGTGGTGGCGCTGACGCTGTGGTGCTCAATCCCTAAGAGGTGCGCATTCTCCTCGAGGGTGACGATGACTTGACCAATCGCGCTGCTGCTGCTGCTGCTGCTGTTCTCCTCCGCATGTGCCTCGGCTCTGGTGGCGGCGCTCTCGAGCACCGACCCTGCCGGTACTCTGAAGCGCATCTGCCCATGGTACGTTTCCGGTTCGACGACAGCTCCGGGGAACAGGTACACGACCCAGGCACGCGTGCGCTCCATCTCCTCGGCTGTCGAGTAGGGCGCGGTGCGGCTGACGAGATGGACGTGAACCGAATCGCCGAAGCGGCTGCGAAGACTGTCGACATTGCCGATAGCTAGCATGCGCTGAGCGAGAATCCCAGCGCGGCTGGCCAGCGCATCGGCCTCCTCCATACTATGCGTCGTGAGCAGGATGGACCGCCCCGGCTTAATCCGCTCGAGCGTGCGCCACATGATGCGTTTGGCGGCGGCATCCAGACCCGACGATGGCTCGTCGAGCAGTATGACTGATGGATTCCCCGTGAGAGCCATTGCGAGCGACAGCTTTCGCTTATTGCCACCGGAAAGATGCGGCGCCATGGTATCAGCAAAGGCCTCGAGACCGACGGCTCGCATCACGGCCCCCACCTGGCCCTCGACATCGTCGATACCTCGAAGGCGCGTATAGTGGCGCAGGTGCTCGAGGACAGTCATGTTATCGACGGCGTCATTTTGAGGGCAGACCCCCAGGTTGGTGCGGGCCAGCGCGCGGTGATCCGTTACCGACACTTTCTCGATGAAGACGTCCCCGCCATTGCGGCTCAGTGGTATATCGCCTTGGATCAGAGACATGATCGTCGACTTTCCCGCTCCATTGGGACCGAGCAGCGCAAACACCTCGCCGTGCTTCACGCCAAATGTGACATTGTCCACAGCAGTGTTGCTTCCGAAAACCTTGATCAGGTTCTTGGCCTGCATGCCGTCGCCGCCGTCGGAGCTGTGAACCCGCAGCTCTTCCTTGGCAATCTCAGCGTCCTCATCGATAACAGCTCTCGGGGGCGAAGGAGCCTTTTTATCGGGTTCCCTGTTCCCCGCGTAAGAGCTAGGTAGTTTATTGCCTGAGTCATGGTACAACAAGACCGTGAAGAGCAAGATCGACTGCACAGACAGGTAAAGAATTGGTCCGCCGTAGGCATTCATGTCTCCGGGATAACTGCGGAGTCGGTAGCCAACACACGCTGTGGAGAATATGTTGAGACCGACTAAGAGAGAGCGGCACAGAGAGCCGGCGGGGAAGAATATAGAGACGGCATAGTGGCTGATCAGGATGTTGCGGTCAACATCTTCAGTGGGCGAGAAGGACGTGATAAAGAGGAAGGCAATGAGGTACACGGCAAACCCGACAACGTTGTAGACGACTATCCCGGCAAACGTCGCCAGCTGGCTGCCCATGAAAAGAGACCAGACGTAGGCGAGCAAGATCGTTGTCAGGGCATACAAGATGTATACAGGGAACAGGTATCCCGCATTGTACCAAATGTCGGACGAGCTGCTGTAGACGGCTGCGGCGACAACAAAGGCGACAACAAAGATGGCGAGATCGACGAGCAGGTGCGATGCCCACAGAGGCAGCGATCTCACCCCGCTCGAGTACTGCAATCCGCGCACGCCGTTGCGGCGCTCGACATTGGGGTAGAAACCAAAGAAGGCCGGCGCGATAGCCACAGCGATGCAGAAGAAGGCCATGAGCATGGTAGCATCCGCGGCACCGGCAGGCGTAGTTCCGTCAAGGGGGACGTACAGCGTTGTGATGGATGTGTTGGTCCGTAAGATGTCGAGTATGTTCTGCATCATGATGCTTGCGTATACAGACTGAGAATTATCGGCGCGGTAGGCAAATGTTGGCAGCGTATTACCATCAGCACCGAGCCAGATGGCACCAGGCTTAATGCGTTTACTATTGTCTCCGATATATCTCTCGAGGGCTGTGAACGAGTCCTGGAGTTCCACGTCGATCCCGACGACGCTGTTCCGGATAACCGCGAGGTAGGGCTGAACGATATCGGAAGGGCCAGCGGCGACGACGGCATCCTTCAAGAGGCCGAGGTATTCACTCGAATCCGGGGCGCTACCCCGGTCCATGGGGGCACATCCAACAGGCTGCCTGTCGCTGACAAGAACCTGTGTGCCAGCGGCGGCGATGATGGGGATGAGCAGGGCGGCAGCGTAAGGAATCCAGTCGGTCTTGAGCAGTGTGAAGCGCTTGCGCAGAAGCACCCGTACCTGAGTGAGGAAACCTGTCTGCCGGCCTGTCATCAGCTCGACTCCATCCGATGGTTTCTCGTCTTCAACCAGCTTCTCAGGTAGAATCTGGCCTCTCCTATCCGAAGGTGTGGTTGTCAAGGCAGGCGCTCGTTCTCCGTCACGGACTTCCTCTGCGACGTGGAGGAAGACGTCTTCGATGGTCGGGCCGGACAGACGGTACTCGATGCTGGCAGCCTCAAGGGCGCGGATGACATTGGCAGCCAAACTTGACGATGGTGCTCTGTACGTGACGTTGGCCAAGGTGACTGTACGCTCTACCCCATCAACTGCAGGCGTGTCCTGGGCCGTCTTTGTGTTGAGGACGTGGATACGGTAGCCAGAGCCTAGAGTGTTCTTAAGGGTCACAGGAGGCCCCTGGACGCGTAGTGAACCTCTGGACAGGATGGCTATATCGTCGGATAAGAGTTCAGCTTCGTCGAGGAAGTGGGTTGTGAGGACGATAGTACGGCGACCTCGTTCCGAAAGCAGGATATCCCAGATTTTGCGGCGAGACAGCGGATCGATCCCCGATGAGACTTCGTCGACACAACACATGGCGCTGTCCCCGGTGAGCATCATTCCCAGCTGAAGCTTGCGCTTCTGTCCGCCAGACAGAGTCTGCGATCTGGAATTACGCTTCTGGGCCAGGCCAATAGAGCTGATGAGTCGGTTGAGCTGTTCAGCCGAGGCCTTGGCGTGGGGTGATTTGAGCTCGTCGAAGATGCGCAGGTGCTCAAGTACCGTGAGGTCCTCCCAAAGGACGTTCTTCTGAGGTGTGATGCCAATGCCCCCCGATGCATCAATGGAGATGCTGCCCTGGCTGAATCGGCTGATACCGGCGATGGCATCAAGCGTTGTGCTCTTCCCACTGCCATTGGCACCCAACAAGGACACGATCTGGCCTCTCTTCACCGACAGAGTAAGACTATCGACAGCCACAGTCGGCGCACGAGGTTTCGTGACGAAGGGGAAGAGACGGCTCACGAGGCCGGGCTGGTACACCTTCGTCAGGCCGTCGACGTAGACTGCGTCGGTGGGAGCATCCTGCGACGAGGGATCGCCCCTGTACACTTTGCGGCTCTCGGCGGCAACTCCATGGATGGCGCGCTCCAAAAAGGCCGCGAGGATGGGGTAAGCCACAATGTGTATGCCGAGGAAGATCCAAAGGACAAAGCCGGGGAGGGCTGAGTCACCGCTAGACGGAGCGTGGAGCAGGTCGGCCGAACGGCCATCCTCTTCGTACTCGGCCACGTAGATGAAGAAGAAGACAATATTGCAGGGGGCGAACAACAGGCTAAGGAGAGCAACAGCGGCCGTGCCCGGGTCTGGCATGGCCTGGGCGAGGACAGCTAGGAGAACAATGGCGATGGCATTGACAGCACCCGACAGCTGAGCTTTCTTGAAGAGGGTGCCGCCCATGATGGCCCAAGACGTCATGGCCAGACCGGCCAATATGTAATGGATGAGGACAATGACGACACTCGTGTTGCTCCAGATGAGAAAGTGAACAATCAGGGAGGCCATGACCCATCCGGGGAAGTAGGTAGCAGCGAATGAGTAGAAGAAAGATAGCATGCGTGCTAGCCGGGCCTCCCAGTCGTTGGTGGTGTGCATCATGGCGTCAATGAGCTGCGACAACCCCCCCTCTCTCTCTGTGGCCATGGACCCGGGGAGGCGGTAGGCTATTCCGTAGAAAATGACGAGAAGCGTGATGCTATTGTACTGGGTAAAGGTTTCCTGGTAGCTACGGGTCACGCCAGCCTGGCGCTCGCTCTCCGTCTGATCGGTGAAGGGCCACTGCTCCGTACCGTCAAGACTGTCCGAGCCGGTGCCAGCTATGGCCATGTCGATAGCACGCTGAAGGGGGAGCGTGTAAATCTCGGCATCATTCCTGCCTGTGTCGACCTGGAAGCTGCGCCCGAAGGTGCGGTCACCTCTCAGCGTGTAGTTCCACTCGTTGCCAGGCCCCTCGTCCGGGGACGAATGAAAGATGGCCGCACCGAAGCAGTTGGAGTCACCCTGAGACGAGGAGCTGCATACGTAGCCAACATCATCCTGGGAGGACAGTCGGGTGGCATTGAGGCCAGCAGCCTCGAACGGCTTAGCTACCGCGTCGATGACACGGTCAATGGCACCGCCAGCGAGGCCACTGTCGACGAATACCATAGTATTGCGTCCACTGCTGGCGGCAGAAATAGCCGAAGACAGGGACCGAACAGGTGTCGGCTTTCCGGTCCCATATCCGTCCGAGGGTGCGCCGACGTTTTTCAGGATGCCCAGGTACAGGCTGAGGATGAGGGGTAGCAGTATGGCTGTGTAGATGGTCGAGACGAAGTGGCGGCGGAGGAGGATGGTGAAGTTTTTGCCTGCAAGCGTCTTGGTCTGAGACCAGAGAGCTGATTTGGGAGCTCCCCCGGTGGTCGCCATGGCTTCGAAAGTAGTCAAGAACGGAGACTCGCCTCGGAGGACAATGAAATGTGGGAGGATGAGAGGTTGCTCTTAGAGGTTGGAGAAGAATGCAATAAAAGATTGAAATATCAAGGAAAGAATTTCTCTTTCCTATATACTAGGAAGGAAGGCACCAGATGCAGTTATCGATAGTTCCTTCCCAGCTCGACGTAACATGGAGTAGAGAATCAGTGACGTGTTCGGCTTCGAGGATAGTCGATGGATATATTTCAATATTGAATGTTACGAAGTGGTCAATCATAGTAACGGGCATCAAGCTGGACACCATTCGTCTCATAGATTCAATCCCTCCAATTCATGGGCGACAACGTCTCTCAGATCACTGTATTCTCCATCGCCACGCACAAACTACCCCATATCTGTCTGGACGGCAGGGCGGCAGGGCAGGACTCTGGTGATACTTTGGCTGTCATACGAGAGTCCAACATGTAAGCTCACTTGAAACCCGGATAGGCAATTTGCAGCGCTCCGTGGAGATCAGGTAGATGGGCGGTAAACAGTTGAAGGTTCTCTCATTGGTCAGCCCGTTTCTCTCTGCCTCCTCTTGCTGTGAGCCTTGCAGTATCGGGTAGCGAAGGATGTTGCCTCTTTCCGCTCCCATCTACGTTCCTACCAATAGTTGGCTCGCAGTAGCAGACTCTTTGCTGACGGTTGCTCTGCCTCTTCCCTCCCCGGGCGTTGGCACACTTGGCCGCAAAGGGAACTGGCTGGGAAGCAGGCTGTGTGCTTCGAAAGAAGATATGCTTGTCCGAGGGCATATCCAAGGGGGGGGGGGGGGGGGGGGGGGGGGTTTATTCGTGAAAATAGAGGGCTGGCCGTCCGTCCGCCCCCTGACGTCTCTCCATCGACAACTCCGTCTCGTCCCAGGTCTTTCGGGTGTGGTAGAGGGACGTGTTGCGCAGACCGGAGAGGTTGGACAGCTGGGGACACGGCACACGCCCGACAGCACAACCGATCATTTACAGACTAGGTGCAAGAAGTAGTACCTCAGACGGCAGCCCTCGACGTAAGAGCAAAATGGTTGCATCTCCGACGCGGCGGAAGAAGCACTGCCCCACTCGCCAATACCTTGTATCTTGGAACGGTCGAAGGAGCGGGATCCCTGCTCGGCGCAACCTGACGACGGCCACCATTCTCTTCTCGCCATTCCATGTGCGGGTACAGATCACACACACGCGTGACGTGAGTATGCTCGTGTACGTGTATCTTATGCAAACTGTCGGATACTCATACTCGGCAAGCCCGTATCTTGATCGGCAGCATATTTCACTGACAAGCTTGACTTGTGTTCATACTGATGCCATATCTACGTCGTTATACGGGACCGTCTGATCAAGAGTTGAACAAGATTCGAACCCGCTTCCAACCCCAACCCCATGTCCCTAGCGCAAAGGTATGTACATCTCTCCCCTAGCCATGCTGACAGCTTTGCTATCCGTAACAGTGCAAATCATGTACAGATTATGGCTGGAGGCCTGAATACTCTCCTCTCTCCCATCATATCCTTCAACCTACAGTTGCCATGTAAAAGCACGAGTAGATGGGATGGAAAAGTACGAACTTGCTGGTGGCCATCTCCTGTACTAGAAAACGCCTTGGAAAAATGCTTGTAAAGCGTGCACACATGTAACCTTCGACGGCCATGTCTAGTCGCTCTACCAGAGCCTAAATCTCCGAATACTTGTACAGCCCATTGACAGTAAGTAATAACACAGTTAGAGCCATGCCGCTGATAATACCCCTAGCAGTCACACCCACCGGCTCTCTGGGCGGCAATACCAGTACGTCGGAGGCGTCAAGTTACAACCTGTAGGGATTGTCGTCGCTGTGCCTTGGACGGGCATTCGAACCATCAGACCTCATGTACTGTATCATTACAGGAATGTCAGATATTGGGGGGGGCTACTCAAACGGAGAGATCCAAAAAGATGCACTGCTCGGTATACAGCTGTGATGCGGAGTTTGCCATCATCCGTACGTCCAAGGCCTTCTTCTTGGTCTAGTAGGCATATTTTTCAAGCTCCGGTCCAAGCTCTCTCGCCTTGTAAAAACGGGCTCACTTTGCATGCATGCAGGCATATCTTGCTCTCTTCTGCTGCTTCTTCTCCTTCTCTCCTTACCGTCTTCTTCTCTCTCTCGCGACACGTGCGATGGAGCGATTCACTAGTCACCAGATGCCGAGAACGATACCTACGCATGTAACTCTCCTCTGAGGCGGCCGACGGACAGACGGCAAGAGGACCCTCTCTAGTTAGAAGTGAATGATTGCGAAGTTAGATCTTCTGTTGCCGACGACGACTTCGCTTGCGAAAAGAAAAAGAAAAGAAAAGTACAGGGGGCTCTACTAATACAGACTAGACGCACATGGTGGTAGGCATAATTCTGGCGTCTAAGACTGGTAAGAACTAATACGCCTAAAGAAAGATGCCCAGTCTTTTTCTGCCCTGCAGCTGGGGTAAGGAACGGAGCGCAGGGGTTTGAGATCTTGACGGTGCAGAGATACGTGGAATATGTCCGTGACCTCCATTATATCAGATAGCGTCCGACTGCTACGGCCGCTACGGCCTTTAGACTGACGATGACTCGGTCGGTCCTGCTAGGAACCAGGATGCACTCGATCACGCAAATACGTACAGATAAGTGTATACGCACATCATTCCCGTCAGCTCATCATACGTCGTACTCGACAGAGGACCGAATACACACACCCCTTCCATTCCTCCTTGAACTAGGACTCGGTGAGGACGATGCGTTGAAAGAAGCCTGTCATCTTGTTATCTGGAGCTCTGTTCAAGGCCATTTTCCGATGTTACACGGGACAAGCTTACGCACAGCTACAGCAAAGAGGTTAGACGTGTATTGCAGATAACCCATTCAACACATGTAGAGCTAAGTAAAAGCCGAGTTCCAATGCATCAATCATTGTACGTCACACTAGCCAGCGCTCGCGACTGGATCAACGAACAGTCGTGCGTCAATATCAGCTGTCAGTGCTTAAATGCTGGTCATCCGTCCCGCGGTGGAGGAAGGCGGCTACGCCAAGCGAGAACAGGGGTTTGGCGGATCACGCCAGGTAGGCTTTTTTATATCCTTGAGCTTTTAAGAAGTTGGCAAGATATGAACATAGGTATCATTACGGGTGACTGGTGTGGACAGGTTTGCAGCGTAGTAGCATCCACACAGTCCGAACTCTTGCAGTGGCGATGACGGACAGGCTGGGTCCCGTTCAGTGCTACTCGGCCGTATAGTGGTAGTACTCTGGCTTCTGCCTGCTTCTTCTGCTGCTACTTGCTTCCCCGTATGCTCGCGGTGCATTCGGAGAGGGAGAGGGAGAGGGAGAGGGAAGAGTAAGCCTCCTACAGGAACCTGCGTAGTTGCGAGGCGATGGGCGTACAGTCGAATGCTACCTTACGGGAAAGAAGGATTGAATATCAGCGAAAGAGAGGCAGGGGGAGGCTTGATCATGTGCTGACCGTCTTCCGGGGTGTCGGTAACTGCTACGTCGTGGCCGGCCGTCAGCAATGGAGTAAGATTACTACCCGTACAGCGTACGTTGCAGCAACGTTCTCGTGCTTGGAACATGTGCATGGCGGCCGTACAGATCGAAACGGTTTCCCGTCTCGTGGCAGTGACAGCGGAGAGTGCCTTACGTGTGATCTGACAGATTTATATGCTTACGCCCGAGACAGGGCAAGACGCAGGTAATCCTGGGCCCGTACCATGTCATCATCCATCACTATATCCATCGAGAACGAGATGATCAAGGAAATATCGGTAAAATCCAGAGCTAGCACACTCGCTCGCCAAGCAACCCCATCGTCATCGTGTGGGAGAGGAGACGGACGGAGACGCTACAGAATGTATGGATTCAATCGCGACAACTAACCCCAACCAGTAGCGTAGATTCAACTATCAATCAATCACGCTGCAGGTCTAACTGGGAGACGACCGGACAATCATCCAGTGCTCTTTTGCGCATATAAACTGCTTGCTCTCATTGCTAAACAGCGTACCATGCGTGGTGTGTGTGGTGTGTGAGGTGTTTACGTGTACACAGGGAATATCCGTACACGATGGTTTCTATCGTCGTCAATGTCCAGATATGGAAGGTAGCGTTCCACAGCCTTCAATCCGTCCAAGTACGGAGGGCCTGTTGTCTAGTCTAGCTTCTCATGTTGCCTACTCTGTTCATTGGAAGCCGGTAAGGAGGGGGTTGCGGGAACAGACGCGGACCGGAGCCCGGAAGTACCGCTGCAGGTATAGACGGACTACAGCTCCGAAAAAACAGGTTCAAGAGTCTCTAGGAGAAGAAGAAGAGAACAACGAGTCCCGACAGAATGCCGGCGAAGCTATCCCTACACGTCTACGGGTTGGAACCACTATGACTACATGTAATACTCTACACGATCTCTCCCGAGCCGCGCTAGGTGCCGCGTTCATGTGCCGTAGGTGTCGCTCCAAGAGGTGGCGCGCAAGAGAGGAAAGGGACAGGGCAGGGATAAGGAGGTGTGAAAGGTTGCATGCGTCTTATTCCCAAAACTCCCCTCCTTCGCACACTCCCCCCCTCTCAGTCTCTCTCCCATGTTCTTAGTATACAAGGGCCAAGGTCCAACTTGGGTCAGCTTGGGTCAGCAACATCAGAAATCGAAAGGTGTATGCAGATCACCTCTTCCCACGTTTGTCAGTACATTGGGACTTCGCTACTTGACCAAGTTCCTGGTACTCTCTGGTAGTCACCCACTCCGAGCCAGTCGGGGAGGAAATAAGAACATGCCATCTTCCCTCGATATTATTTTATGCGATTGCTCGTCCTCCTCTTCCTCTTCTCTCTCTCTCTCTCTCTCTCTCGCTCTCTCTCTCTCTCTCGCTCTCTCTCTCTCTCTCTCTCTCCCCACTACATGACAGTCTATAATATCAAACAACTGTCAGCAAGAAAGCCTCAGTTGAATTCTCGGAACTCTCCCTTACATCCAGGTAGTCATCATGTCATCCATCACTAGTCCCATCTTCAGGCCTTCTACGCCGGCATGTGTAATAGTGGATGACAACAGGAAAACAAGCACTGCCAAGAAGTCCAAGTCCAAGTTCTCGGCCGTTTTGAGGTCCAAGGAAATGCGTGAGGGAGATGACTGGACGAGTGTCAAGGACCCAAAGCAGAAGAAGAGGATCCAGAACCGGATCGCTCAACGAACATATCGTACGCTCAATCCCCACCACTCTACTATCAATCTTCCGTCTTTTCTCCTCTGCCTCTCGTCTTCCTGCTTTTTCAAATCCCTCCATGACCGTTCCGTAGATACCAACACTTCCCCCCTCACAGGCCACCGCATGAAGGCAAGGCTCGACGAGCTGCAAGCACGTCTCGAGGCCCACGAGGGCTATCCGCACCGTCACCACCAACCTCCCCCTCACATGTCCTCGACAGCAGACAGACTACAGATGCCCTCTATCGCAATTGGAGACTCCCTCTCACCAGCCACGTCCACTACCGGCCACCCTCGCCACCCTCGCCACCCTCACCTTCACCAGTCAATCCCGGTACAGCAGACTTCGGCATCCCCCTCCCTCGACGCTCAGCTCATGGCCGCCCAGCCCAGCTACTTCGAGACAGTCCCCCTCAGCGACGCCGAGGGCAGCCCGGCCTCTATCGACCTATCCGTCTTCGGCAGCCCCTCCCTAGCTCCCACCAACCCCTCCCCGCCTCCCGCCTCACACGGTCTCCTCTCCCCACATTCCATGGCAGATACCCGCCCCGCCCTCAGACGAGAGGACTCGGCTCCTCCCAGATCTATGCTCGACTGCATGAACTTCCAGTCGCAGCTCCTCGAGCGTCTCAAAAATCTCCAGAGGGAGACTGGATTCCCCGCCACCGCCGTCGCCCCGACTTCGGCCCCGTCCTCTACCACCACGGCCGCCGGTAGCGTGGATCAGCGCCTCGAGCTCATCACAGCCCAGGCCGAGGCAGCCGGCTTTGAATCGTTCGACCACCTCGTCACCACCTACTACACGCAAAGGCCTGACCGCGCCTCCACTCTCGCCGACGAGCAGCGTTTCAGCCGTCACCGCCGCCTGCCCCAGGTCATCTACGACATGCACACCACGTCGCCGGGATCCGTGTGGAACGGCTGGGAGCGTGAGAGCCTCCACGACGATATCCTGCGCACCGCAGGCGCCATGCTTACTAGCGAGGGCTCCGACATCATGCAGTCGCTCGGTCCTGGAGTGAATGCCCTGCTCGACGCCCAGAACAGCGGCGATATCGCCGCTTCGACAGAGGCCAAGGCATCTATGAAGAGGTCCATTCAAGAAGAGGTGAGTACATATTCTTTGATTTATCACGGGAGGAGAGAACCATAAACTCATCTGGCTCTCAACATAGCTTCCTAACCTCTGGACCCTGACCATGTCTCTGGCCGCCGGCAGGCGTCACTCGTGGCAGTGGGATCGCTCCAACACGGCCCTCGCCATTTCTCTGCTCGTGAACTTCTCCGGCCACCTGTCCAACGAGCAGCTTCAGTGCCTCGTTGGAGCCTGCCTTTCGTGAAAGGAGCTCTCCCTGTATGATGGTACAGCATTGAAGAACGACTATACCCGAGAGGACAACATGCGGATCGCTTAAAGGCACACATATAAAGTGCAGTGCTCTAGTTGCTGTCTCTTCAAGCCGGGTTCTTCCAAGGTCGAATGTCTGGACGTTGTCGTCTAACAAGGGCCCGAGGCCCGGGAGTTGACAGATCATCTGGGCAAACACGGACGTTGCCGACCCAACGTCCCTGCAGCTACAAATAACCAGCAGGTTCGTCATTCGAATCAAGAAAACCCGGGCCAAGAATCATGTCGAAAGGAGACGCTTTGCTAAACTTGAACTTTCAAGTACGCTAGCATATAATACTGCTACCATACACCAGTATACGGTATACGGTATACGATCACGGTCATGAATAAAGCTTCGCATTACTCAAGCAGGTGGTCCTCCCGTTCGACATGTTCTTGTTTCGCCACGGGCAACAGTATTTTGGTCGGTGACGACCAGCGAATGCCAGCTGTTGTATAGTTTTTTGTTTTTTTTTTCTTCGCATATATCTATATTCTACCTCTATACAAGGTAAACCACATAGTCTTCATTCACTCATCAGCCTCCCAGATACGACCATAACTAGTGGAAAATACGGGGTCCCGTTAAGCTCTACTTGTCTATTTAATACCCGCCTCTTTTAGTAGCTGTCATAGTAAATCAGTCTACAGCTTCGGTAAGCGGGACTCGACTGTAAAACCGTCAAGTCTGTCACTATAATAGGAATAGAGAATAAGACCCTTAATACTACTAAACACCTAACCTGTTATTCTTTCTGCATGTAAGTTACAAGTGTTTATAGAATTTATTCTTATAGAAACATTATATTAACTAACTGTATTCTGATCCTTTCTTGCCATTCATTATTCCTATGTGGTCACCTCAGGTACACAGGCAAGAGTGCAGTTGTCGAGTTTCAATGTGGCCTTTTCATATCCCATATGCGTCCTGTCGGTATACGTATACCAAGTTACCGGATCGATCATGTGGAAACTAAATGGTTAGTAGATGGCGGACTGTTCTCCAGTTCCTTCGTAGTTTGACGCTCAGAGGCGGTTGTTGCCATCATGACCGATTGGCGTGAAGCCCATGGCGTCACATGTTGTGTTTTAGGACCCCTGCGCCTCAGGCACAACCCAGCCAACACCATCAGACTTGCCCGATAGATTACATCCCATCTATCAGACTTCGACACCATCCAGACCCAAACAACAACAACAACAACAACAATAGAAATAACAGTCTGAACAAAGCCCTCCGATATACCCTACCATGCGACCAACAACACATCTCGCCCGGCTGAGCCTAGCCATGACGCTGGGTTTCCGCGCCGTCGCGGCGTCTTCGCCCGGCAACGACGACGACGATGACGACACCCCTCTCCCACTCGTCATCTGGCACGGGCTAGGCGATGCCTTCAATGGCGAGGGTCTCCAGCAGGTGGGCGCCCTAGCCGAAGCCGTCAACCCGGGCACGTTCGTGTACGTCATCTCGCTCGGGGGTGCGGACGCGAACGCCGACCGGTCAGCCACGTTCCTGGGCAACGTGACGGAGCAGGTGGAGACGGTGTGCTCGCTGCTGGGCTCGCACCCGATCCTGTCGACGGCGCCGGCCATCGACGCTCTGGGCTTCTCGCAGGGAGGCCAGTTCCTCAGAGGCTACGTGGAGCGGTGCAACGACCCCCCGGTGCGCAGCCTGGTCACGTACGGCAGCCAGCACAACGGCATCACCGAGTTCCGCTCCTGCGGCGCGACCGACTGGCTGTGCCGCGGCGCCATGGCCCTCCTCCGCTACAACACGTTCGGGTCCTTCGTCCAGGGCCGCCTCGTGCCCGCCCAGTACTACCGCGACCCGACCTCCCAGGCCGCCTACGACGACTACCTAGCCGGGTCCCACTTCCTCGCCGACATCAACAACGAGGGCTTGCGCGGAGCCGACCACCGGCGCAACGCCACCTACGCCGCCAACATGGCCCGTCTGGAGAACTTCGTCATGTACAAGTTCGACGACGACAGCATGGTCGTCCCGCCCCTGTCGTCGTGGTTCGCAGAGGTGAACGGCACAGACGTCACGCCCCTCCGCGAGCGTGCCCTGTACAAGGAGGACTGGCTCGGTCTGGCCGCCATCGATGCCAAGGGTGGCCTGAGGTTCCGCTCCGTCCCCGGCGAGCACATGCGCATCGACGATAAGTCGCTCAACGAGACTTTCTCCAGCTTTTTTGGTCCCTTTGGGCGCTCTTTTGAGCCCGAGAAGCCTGTCGCTTTCCAGGATGAGCTGTGATCTGTTTTCTTTGCTCTCGACTCTCGATCTTCTTTGCAGCCTTTCTTTCTTCAGTTTCCTTCCTTGGCCGGCATCAGTAGGATAGCGATCTTGATTTTTCGTTTTAGATAGAACTCGAGCAACTGGAATAAATAGTCATCAGATACAGATCGGTTCTTTATTTAGGCCTACACTACTACATCTCTTCTTTTCCATCGCCCGAAAACAAAAACAACGCCGCAACGCCCTTTTTTTTTGGCCCAGAAACTGAATCACAAGTAGAAAGCATGCAACATGACACAAAATAGATGGCTTTTTTTTCTTTTACCCTTCTTTTTTTTGTTGTCCCCTTTAGTCCACAGACTTCCTAGCAGCAGCCTTCTGCTTCCTCAACCTAGACTTGCGGTCGGAAATCTGCTTGTCAAGCTTGCCGTCGTCACCCTCGGGGACATCCTTCCGCTCCTCCTTCTTGGGCTTGTCGGCACCCTTCTTAGCCTTCTTAGCAGGCGCAGCAGCAGAGTCGCCCTCGGCCTCGTCCTTAGCCTCGCCGGATTCGGTGACAGACTTCCTCTTCTTGCCGACGTTGGCCTTCTCGGCCTCCTTGTCCTTGATGGCGGCGGCAGCCTCGTTGGACAGGACGTCCTTGCTATCGACCCACAACTCGTCGGTCAGCCAGATGGGCAGGGCGGCCGACTCGGGGCCCTTGATGTACAGGCCGCGCACGTTGTTCCACTTCTGGGGGACCCACTTGTCCACCAGGGCGGCGGCCACGGCGTCGACGTTGTCGGCCACCTTCTCGGGCGCCCAACCGGCGTAGCCGACGCGGACGGCCGTGTTGGTCGTGGGCGAGAGGCTGACCAGGGCGGAGCTCAGGGCCTTTTCGATCTCGTGGGCGATCTGGGCAGGCTTGGCGGCCCTCTCCTCGTCAGAGCGCTGGGCCGCCGCCTTCTTCGCCTTCTTCTCGGCGGCGCCGACGCCCGCCTTCTTGGAGTCCTTGGGCGATAGGACCACGGGGATGGGCCTCTTGGCCGTCGTCTTGAAGAAGGTCTTGCCTAGCACCTTGGGGATGCGGTTGATGATGCGGTCGTCGGCAAGGAATATGTCGTGCTCGGACAGCAGCCTGCGCTGCGCCTCATACTGGCTGAACTTGGCCTTGAGCTTGCTGAAGCCGATGACACGGCCGACGCGCGCGCGCAGCTCGGCGGGGAACTCGTCCGACGCCACAATGTCCTTGTACGTGCGCTGGGGGTCCGCCGTGATCAGGCAGATGTCCACCGGCTGGTCGGCGTTGAGCGAGTGTGGCAACGGGATCCTGCCGGGCTGCAGCCGCGTCTTGTCGACGATGTGGCGCTTCGTCGTCAGGGTCAGCCAGATGGGCGTCGAGTCGGCGTCGGCGGAGCCGCCCTCGGCATCGTCATCGTCGAGCAGGTTGCGCTTTGACGAATCCTGGGCCTTTTCCTGCGCGGCCTTTTTTATGTGTGACAGGAGGGCCTTGGAGGCTTTGAGTGTCTTTTTTTTTTAACGCTCTTGTCAGTATACACATGATATCTTCCTCCTTTTCTTTCTTCTTTCTGAGTGCCAATCTCGAACGAACCTGATCGGAGCTGACAGGGGAGACAGTCTTGTCGCCAGAAATGGCAACAACTTGCTTGGAAGGCGCCATGTCGGATGTGTAAGCGACAATGTGAGATGTGGTCTGGTGATGGTGGTGATAAACTGGTGTGGGGGTCTGGTGTTTGGGTGTTGAACGGAAAAAAAAAAAATCTGGGTTTTTTCTTTTCTGCCAGTGGCTTGGGCTGTAGGGCGGTGAGAGAGTATGTGATGGCATTTGAGGCTGAGTGTGGCTTGCTGAGCTGGGTGGGTCGGAACCCCGGGAAGTCGGATCCGAGACCCACTTCCTGAATCCGGAGCGGACGGCGTTCGGTTCGTATTTTCACACGGCTCCGATGGTCCGTTGTGTGTGTATTTTGGCATTGGACTCTGCACTTGTTTCGTGCAAGCACCAATCGATGTTAT